AGAGATCCACAAGCGAACCACATTACCTCTTTGGTACTGTTGCATTTGAACACCCGCAAATCCATCACCGTGGTCAAATCACCAAGATTGTCAACCGTACTCTTTATTTCGATGATGGTGAACCAATCGATACCGATGCAATATTATTAGGTACGGGGTTTCTCTACCACTATCCGTTCCTACCATCCATGCCTGACTTGCACGAATTGATATTCTCAAAAGATGACCCCACATTAGCTTTTGTCGGTCATAACCAACCGGGATTAACATTCAAAGTCTTCCAGTGGCAGGCAATTGTCATCGCCAAGGTTTTTGCTGGCAAGGGTAAAATTCCACCAACAATTAGAAACAACCCCACCATCTGTCCCGAATTTGAAATCTACTACAATCAAATGCGTGACGCTTCAGACAATATATTACCACCATGGGATCCACAATGGTTAGAGGCATTATATAGAGGTCTGGAAATTAGAAAACAAAACTGGATAAACAATCAATAAAGTATTTACACTATTTATAATAGAAATCTTCTTTAACAACATCTAATAAATCATACAACAACTCTTCTTCATCGTCTATCTCTTCTTCGTCATCACTATCATCAATCTCATTCAAATCCAACAACTGCGTCTTGGCTCTGATCTCAATCAATGTTTCAATTTGTCGCAACGTCTCTGGAGAAGCAGAACCTTTACCAAGCATCATGGTCAACCCATCAAACGTTGTCCCAGAATCAGAAAAACAACTGAAAAGTACCTTTTCTTTACCAAGGAGATTGATCTTGTAGAGATTGGTGTTGATGGAAATCAAACTCTTTTTCTCACCACTAGAAGCACTGCCAACATTAACCACTTTAACATCTTCAATATCAGCAACTGGTACCTTAATCTTGTGTTCTTCACATTCAATAAACTGACGGTTAGGCGTTAATCGGATCACAAATTGATTACCAGCACCAGTGCTGCTGAGTGTCACCAAACACCCTTCCATCAACTTCAAAATACGCTGTTCTCTAACAAACTCACGCACTTCTTTATCCAACTCTTTGTTAAATTCAAACAATCTTCCAGCCCATTTCTCCTTTAACGACTCTTCAATCTTTGTGATTTGGAAATGTCTGACATCACCAATAGCACCACCTTCAGAAACAATCGCTTCATCAATTCTTTTACCACTCTTTTCAATCTCTTCAATGTTACAATACAACAATTGGAAAATCTTGGCAATGTCAACTTTGTTTTCCAACTGAGCCCTGGTCTCTTGCCACAAAATCAACCCGTTATTCATAGTATAATAAACCATCAAATCCCAACTCAACACAGAAGAATAAATCATTGGGAACTCTTCTTGTTTGTTGAAAATATCAATCCACAAATCATTACACTTTGATATAAATTGGCACAACGGGAAAGTTCTAGTATGATCACTCATCATCAACTCCTCGTGGAATCTCTTTTTGAATGTGAAATTAGGATCTTTCAAGAAAATCTTCAAGTCCATTGCCAACAAGATGGTAAAGTTTTCAATAACATACTGACGCGGGTTATCTGTGAAACCAGCACGAACATATTCTTCAGTGGTGGCAGGTGTACCATACTCATTCAACGATGTTTCCAAATAAATAAACAAATTATTCAACATGGTTTGATGCGACTTAATCGACAAGTCAAACGTGGTGCTTTCCAAATACTGGTTCAATTTAAAATATGCCACTTTCAAGTTTTCAATAGCCTCTAAAATGGTTTTATCATCTGTTTCCAACAAGTTTCCAACAGTACTGAAAAATGTCACATGTTTCAATCTACCAGCCAAGGTAATAATCCCACTGTAATCAAACTTCAAACTCTTATTGATCAAATCAGTAACCAACTTGATAGAGTTGAATGTAATCTTGTTATCTTGGAGAAACAACTTAGCCGTGATAATATCAATAACATCAAGATATTCAATCAAACTTTCAAAAAGCGGCAAGTATCTCTCAATACAGTCCTCCTTGTTGCGGAAAATAGTACCAGAAATATCAATAACCAGGATCTTCAAAATAGCCTTGTATGTCTCAGAAGACATATTGGCACTCACAATACTAAACAAAGTCTGGAATAACGTATGATCCAAGATATGGATAAAATCGTCTGATATCGCATCGCTGCCAATAATACAATCTAAAAGTTTGGCCAACACAACAATAGAATTGACTTTCTCCTGTTTATCTTTACCCAAGATATTGGTCTTAAGAATAGTAGCATAAGATAAAGCTGTTGGTTCATCCAATTTGGCCTTATTGATGTTGTCTGAAGAAAAAAAAAGGTTAGTAAACATGCGTGCATGATGGATATTCCTCCCCTTGAAATCAAAACATACTTTTACTCAACAACTCATTCAATTTATGATTAATACTTCTTGAAGATTCAGACATCGTCACTTTCTATAAAGAAAGAAAAAGCAGGAAGTAGTAAAAATTTTTTTTTAACGAAGAAATCTAAATAGCCACTTGTTCTTCTGAATTTTTTTTTTTTTTGCTTTACTTTGTGATTTGGAAAAACCCTTCGACAAAAAAGAAAACAATGCAATTTCAAATCTAAAAATCATAACATTCTCGCTAATTCCCTTTTTTTTTTTCTTACATCCAAATTACATACATTAAGAAATACTCTATGCAATTGGTAATATCTAGCAATTTAGAATTATCCATTCTTGATACGTATAGTTTATTATAAATACTACTTTATCTTATCACGTTCTATTCATGCGTGTACTTTAACACAAAAGTCAATTTTCCGTTTTTTTTTTTAATTTCATTCTTTTTCCGTTGGACTGGACGCACCCACTCAATTTCAATTTTTTTTTTTTTCTCTCTCTCTCTGACTTACATGAGCAAAGAAAAAAAAAAAAAATTCCAGTTGTACCTATTCCATGAATAGTCCCACTTATCACCAAGACCAATTATTTCAATCTATCCTCCTTCCATTCACTTCTTTTATTCTACTTTAATTGTTGATCATTTTTTTTTTTTTTTATAAAAATGAGTTTTCTTAGGAGGGATAAATCAAAGGCCAATTTAAGAGATGGAATTTCAACATCATCATCATCTGCTGGTTTAGATGAGCCACCGATTTCCCCAAACACCCATTTCCCATCGGTATTGCCTTCGTTTGATGGCCATTTACATCATCATGGAACCAATAATCCAGATCACGGCTATCATGATCCGGACTCTCCCCGCTCATCCGTTATTTCATTACCTCAACTTATGCACAATGCCACACCAAACCATCTTAAGGAAAACTACAAGGGGTTCCATGCCAATAAACGTCCAAAAGGAATTGGGAATGTACCTCCATTAGCACAGCCAATCAAACCAAGATTCAAGAGAAAGAGCAATTCATTGTTAAATAAAATCATGAATTCGGGTAAAAGAGAAGAAGACGGTAAAGAACTGGCAAGTAATTCCCGTTCAAGTTCCATCATCCCGGAAGAAAAAAGAAGAAGTGCCAGTCTGATTTCATCTTCTAGTTCAAAACACAAGTTTAGATTCTCCTCATTTGACAGCAACTTGTCCTCCACTTCAACTACACCACCAAGAGAGAAGGATAAGGAAAAACAACTGCTGATTTCGGAGGCGAGCGACACAACCTCGATCCATTCATCAACTGTACCAGCAATATCACTTGATCTTAATATGGATGAAATCCAGGATATTGTGAAAACACCACCACAACAACAGCAACAAGACACTTTATCTACAGTGAAAACAAACACCAGTGTGACCAATATCAAAAACTGGCAAGCCCCTGATAGTTGGGATGTGAAGGCAGTTTCTAAAATGGAAGAGCACCATGCAGCTCAATCACCACAACCTCCAGTGGCAAACAAAATTGAAGAAATTGACACCGATGATGCCGAACAAGAACTTGGCACTAAAAGACAACCAATGCTTTATGGTACACACCAAGTTCCACACATTGCCAATTCATTGGATACTAAATCCAGTCATATCATTCGTGTCTTCAAAGAAGACAATACATTTACTACTGTCTTGTGTCCATTGGAAACAACCACCAGTGAACTTTTAGCCATTGTACAAAAGAAATTCTTCCTTGAATCAACAGCCAACTTCCAAATCTCTGTTTACATTGGGAACTGTATAAAAGTATTGGAAGACTTTGAAAAACCACTCAAAATTCAAATGGGATTGCTCTTGTTAAGTGGATATACCGAGGATGACAAGTTGAGAATGCTTGGGCGAGAAGATTTGTCGTTTGTATGTAAATTTGTTGTGGAAAACATATTCTTGAGAAGTCTTACCCATGACGAAGAAGTATTGTTATCGAGAAACTACGTTGATGTCAACATCTCCTCGTTGAATTTGAAAAATATCCCTATTATATTCCACCAGCACACATATGAAATCGAAAAGTTAAATGTGTCAAATAACCCATCAATCTATTTGCCATTGGATTTCATTCAGAATTGTACAAATCTAGCATACGTTGACTTTTCACATAATGGTTGCTCCAAATTTCCCATGAATTTATTGGAAGCTCCACAATTGACTCACGTAAATTTGGAAATGAACTTTTTGGATGATATCCCCACTAGTTTCAATACTTTAACCAATTTGACACACTTGAAGTTGAACTCAAACCAGTTATCAGCACTTCCAGAATCGTTTGGCACATTGCTGAATTTGAAGGTACTCAATCTTTCGTCCAACTATTTCCAAACATATCCAGAACCAGTAAACAAGTTGGTCAACTTGATTGATTTGGACCTCTCCTACAATGATTTAGCAGATATCCCAGAGTCCATCACCAACTTACAAAGCTTGCAAAAATTAAACTTGTGTACAAACGTATTGTCGGGGTCGTTGCCAGAATATTTGTCCCAGTTGGTTTCATTAAAGCGTTTGGATATCAGATATAACTACATCTCCAATGTGGGTGTTCTTGGGAAAATTCCTAACCTCGAAGTTGCCTATGCATCCAAAAATAAAATATCCACATTCAACGACCAAATGAAATGTTTGAGGTTACTACACTTTGACAGAAATCCGATTACCGAACTTAAGTTTAACAATGAAATGGAAATGTTGACGGTGTTGGATTTATCTCTAGCAAAAATCACCGGTATTCCACCGGAGTTTATAGACAAAATCCCGAGTATTGAGAAATTGGTACTTGATAAGAATCATTTGGTCACATTACCTAATGAGCTTAGTAAATTGTCCAAGTTGTCGTCCTTATCTATATATTCCAATAATTTGCAGAATTTGCCAAGTGGTATTGGTGAACTTAAACACTTGAAGTTCTTGGACTTGCACAGCAACAACTTGAAGTCATTACCTGATCAAATTTGGGAGTTGCGCTCACTATCCCTGTTGAATGTCGCATCGAATATTTTGACATCGTTCCCAAAGGCCCCATTCTCCGTGGTGAAAAAATTATCATCATCTACAGATTTACGTGGTGAACTCACGCAGACTTCATCGTTGGCTGATAGTTTACACTCATTGATTTTGTCTGACAACAGACTTGGTGACGAATGTTTTGATGAAATTTCCTTCTTGGTTGGATTGAAAACATTAAATCTTTCCTACAACGACTTGATTGAAATACCACAGGGTTGCATCTGTCGTTTGACCAGACTTAACGAGTTGTACTTGTCGGGTAATGAATTGTCCACGTTGCCGGGAGAAGACTTGGAGGCACTTAAATCCTTGAAATTATTATACTTGAACAACAACAAGTTGGTCACACTCCCAGCTGAGTTGAGCAAACTTGCTAATTTGCAGCATCTTGATGTGAGTTCAAACCAATTGAAATATAACATAGCAAACTGGCCATATGACTGGAATTGGCACTGGAATAAAAACTTAAGATACTTGAATTTTTCAGGAAACAAACGATTTGAAATCAAACAGAGTCATATCAAGAACCCAGAAACAGGTGAGGACTTTGACAGTTTGTTGGTATTGAAACAGTTGAAAGTGTTGGGGTTGATTGATGTTACATTGACTACAACCAATGTTCCTGAACAATCCATTGATTTGAGATTACGTACCACCGCTTCTGAGTTTGACAATTTTGGTTATGGTGTAAGTGATTCTTTGGGTATGAGAGATCATGTTTCCACTCGTGATTTGTTTGTCCAAAAATTCAGAGGTAATGAAAACGAGGTGTTGCTTTGTTCGTTTGATGGTAAACATGGAGCACCAAACCAGGGTCACAGAATTTCGTTGGTTTCCAAGAACATTTTCGTGAACAATTTCACCAAGGAGTTAGATGAAATTAAAAGTGATGATGAAATTGAGAATGCATTGAGAAAGGCGTTTTTGGCATTCAACAAGGAAATAAACGGTATTTTAAGTTCAAAGAAGAACAACGCATTCACACCAATTCCAAAGATCTCAAAGGAATCACTCGACTTGAACTTGGCTGATGATGCGAATGCTGGTTGTGCAGTATCGGTTATTTATATCAAAGACAAGGTGATGTATTCAGCAAATATTGGTGACATTGAAGCATTGCTTTGTAGAAGCAATGGAGATCAATTCTTGCTCACTACCAAGCACCAACCAACCACACGTGAGGAGTTTGAAAGAATTCGTGCTTCTGGTGGTTATGTCTCTGGCCAAGGGGAATTGGACGATGAGTTGGCAATTTCCCGTGGTGTTGGTTTTTTCAACTTTTTGCCACATACAAACTGTGCCCCATCAATCAACAAGTTCAAAATTACTGTTGAAGACGATCTTATCATCTTGGCCAGTAAAGAGTTGTGGGATTACATCTCTTACGAATCGGCGGTTGATATCATTCGTAAGGATAAGAACGACCCAATGGTTGCTGCTCAAAAGTTGCGTGATTTTGCCATTTGTTATGGTTCTTCAGACAAGATTGCGGTTATTGTGTTGACGTTTGGAAACAGACAAAAAGAAGTTGCCACGATGTTCTCCAACTATGGTGTTGATCGTAGAAGAAGGGATAAACAACAGCTTGCTGGTGGTGATTCTAATCTTCGTAAGTTGGAACAAGAAATCGAGCCCCCAATTGGTTCACTTGCGTTGGTGTTTACCGATATCAAAAACTCGACATTGTTGTGGGACTCATATCCTGCACCAATGAGATCGGCTATCAAGATCCATAACAACATTATGCGTCGTCAATTACGTATTTCTGGTGGTTATGAAGTAAAAACAGAAGGTGACGCCTTTATGGTTGCGTTCCCATCTCCAACTTCTGCTTTATTGTGGTGCTTCCTGGTTCAACAAAACTTGGTGTCTGCTGACTGGCCATCTGAAATTCTTGAAACTGATCAATGCTGTACCGTTACAGATGCCGATAATAATGAGATCTATAGGGGGTTGTCTGTTCGTATGGGGATCCACTGGGGTTCACCGGTCTGTGAGCCAGATGTCATCACTGGACGTATGGACTATTTTGGTCCTATGGTCAATCGTGCTTCACGTATTAGTTCTGTCGCAGACGGGGGCCAGATTGCTGTCAGTTCAGATTTCTTGGATCAAATGAAGAGCTTGACTACTAAGCATAACAATATCAAAAACAATGTGGAATCGGTAACTGAAGCTTATGAAGGTAACCCTGCTGCGGGGGCTTTGATAGAAAGAGAATTGAACGCATTGGAAGAACTTGGATGTAATTATTACAACATCGGGGAACGCAAGTTGAAAGGTTTGGAAACTCCTGAACCAATAACGTTGGTATATACAAACAGATTGAAATTGAGATACGAAATATTCAAGAAGAGGTTTGATGAAACTCATAGTACAAGAATTGTGGGAACATTGCCAGTGGAGATTATTTATGGTTTGAGAACTGTTTCCTTGCGTTTGGAAAATGTATGTTCTGCTATCAATAGTGGTGGTAAATGTGCACAAGAAAGCTTTGAAACCCACTCTTCGGGATTCATTTCTCAAAAGATGAGTTCCACATTCAAGGATGCTGACTTGATTTCATTGTTGAACCATATCACAACCAGAATTGAAAGTTGTACAGCAACCTTGGGATTGCGTCAACAAATGAGTGTGCATAAAGGAAACCACGGATATATTGACACAATGAATTCGTGCTCCATAAGTGAACTTGTGGATGAGATCAATGACATTTTAAAAACATTTAATGAGTTAAGTAGATAAATAGATTATTATTATTATTATTATTATTATTATTATTATTATCACTATGATGAAAAATGTAGATCATCCGCCTTGAGCGGGTTTTCTTCTTTGACGTGAATTACGAGCAATCACCGGTGCGAGCAAAGCAAATGAAACACAACAACAAGGAAAAAAAAAAAATTACAAAAACTTTCGATTCTCGATCTTTGGTATAATTTTTCACTAGCCGTCTATTCCTACCTTCGAAGTCCTTTTGCAATTTCATTAAACTTATTCAAATGGCTACCCTGTCAACTCCATCAATTGAATCAACTCCAAGGATTCGAGAAGCCAATTTTGGTGAGATTCTCGGCATCAGGGCCAATCTTCAACAGCAGGATATTGGACCAGCTGACTTAATCCACAGATCTGTCTATGCTGGATCAAAATCTGCCTTGTACAATCAAGATGACTTTATTCACGAGAAACATAAAAAAGACGATGATGGATACGTTGGTTTCTACCATTACATCAATGGGATGAAACTAGATAACGTTGAATCGTATATTCTTGAATTGATTAAGGTAGGAGCACCATACCGACGTGACGTGATTGTTACATATTGTTCCTTCAACATATTCAACAATACTGATTTTCGAATCAAATACGTTGTTCACCATAAAGATTTACTGATTGATAGAACTTATCAAATTGGTAGTCGAGTGGTTAAAGCAGTCCCCACCAACTACAAGTTAGAATTGGAAGCATCACAAATTGTTAGATTGTTTCATCAATTGGACAATCCCGAGTATCAACCTGTTGGTGTTGCAAGTTTCCCGGATTTTATTAAGACCAAAGAAGATGTTCAAGAATCACTCAACACATTAATCCAGTTTCTCCCCAAAGGGTATATGACCGGGACTTCGTCGATGTATGGAGCTGTTACTTCTTGTGGGGACGACAGAAAAACAAACTACTACAGAAACCGATTAGTCGACGCCATAGTAAGGCTTGACAAACTAGGAGGGTCTGACGGGATCGCGGAACAGATCACAACAATGTTTGGAACCGAGTTCAACTATGTTAATCTTAAATTGGTTAAAGACGAACTTGAATATGTTAGGTTGATTAGTGCCTCAGTAAAGGACTTGTACTCCACACAACTGGCTTTGATTTTGGTAGAGCAGATCAAATTCTTGATTTCGAGGGATCAATTCTTCATGGCATTGGAAATCGCCAAGAAGACCATTTTGATTTTACCTTTGGATTACGATTGCTGGTTCCACCTTGCATTGTGTTATATATTGGTCAAGGACTTTGAGAATGCATTGTTGGTAATCAACGCATTACCAATTATCATAAATAAACACAAAACTAATAAAGACCTGCCAGACTTATTTGTTGACACATTTATTGAAAGACTTGAAATGGAAGAAGTGATTTCTGAAAAGTGTCTCCACGAGTATTTCCCTAACCCAAGGAATGCCGAAGGGAAGGATCTTGCTTCTGTTGAAAAGTTGTGGCAGGATTTTTTTGTTTTCAATCCCTTGGCTAGACATCCTATCGTTGGCCAGTATTTTCTTCAGTCGCCATTGATTAACAGCTCGGCTATAGAAATTGCGTCAGTCGACACGATTTTGATCAAAACTTGTGGTCCGAATTCAACCAAAAATAACTTTGCATCTCAATCTGAAGGCACCACCAACTCATCGATTTTGGATTTCACAAGAAAATCTACCTGGGGAAGAACATATGATTTGTTATCGTTTATGGTTGCCCTTGTTGGTTGGGAACGAGTCATTGCTATTAAGGAACATATTTTCAAACTGAGTGTCGAACAATCAGATGGTAAAGATTACGTAGTAGACCACGGAATCAAAGAGAGATTGGTTACATGTGAAACATGGCTTGAACAATTATTCATTACCATTTATGAAGATCTCCGTTCATTGATGATTACCATATCAAACAACAAGAACCAGGAGAGAAGTGCACTTGAATGGGAAATGATTGGGTTGTTGGGTTGGCCAGTGAAGCATAATTTACGTGACTCAATTAGTTCGCTAGTCACAAGTGTTATGGGCAGAAACCTCCAAGGAGAGTTTGATTACTTTGGAATTGTCCAGCTATTGGAAATATATGATGAATTTATTCTTGATTGTCCAAGCTACCATGATGGCTACAATGGCAAATTCTTGAGTAACAAGTTGATCTTGAAAGTGTCGAGTGACAAGATGTACGATAGTCTAATTAATTCATTAGAAGAAGAATACTTCAAGCTAGACTTTGTACTTCTTGCAATCATGAAATTGGTCAGTTGGACCACACGTTGGTATCAGTACTCGCCAGGGTATCTTGTCACCAGTATTCTACAAAAATTAATTGCCAAATATGATCTGGTATACTTAATGACTAGAGTGAAGATCATCTACGAACTGAATAAAAGACAGAAAGTGGCTAAATCTTTATTTGGTAAGAAGAAAAAGGAACTTCCATATGAGTTTACCGATACAGACACTATTTACGAGCACATGGAACATTTGATTAACTGGGTCGATAGTTTCTATTGATTCTTTTTATTTAAAACCTTTTTTCTTTGTTTAATCATATAGGTGTAAAGCATGTAAAATCCAGGTATATAGACTACCAAAATAATTCTTAATGCCCACCCGTAGTAGAATCCTGCTTCGTTCAAGGATAAAATGATCAGGTACACCTCAGATGCAACACCGGTAGGATACAAGACGTAGAAAGTGGTGTATCTCAACCAGGTCAAGAAATATGGAACACCACCAGTCAAGTTGCTGGCGTAGTAGGAGTATCTAATGATTTCGGTGATTGACCAACTTAAACATAAAGTGATGTAACACCAATGGAAGTTGGCTGGGGAGTTTGGTAAGTATTGGTGAATACCCCAAACAAGCAATAAACGAGAAAGAACCTGGGTGAATGTGGTGAACAATGGGGATCTGACCAACCCAACCAAGGAATTGAAGATTTCAATAACAGCTAAAGTTTGAATGATAGTGGTGGTTTTGTTGGTTTTCTCAAATACATATGGCTGGCCCACTGTAGCACCTAAGAATACAGTGTTGAACAACACAATTGACCATAAAGATGCAGAAATTGAATTATAAGCAATCAAGTATTTATTTGGTTGAGCCATGCTTTACCTCTATACTAAAAGAATTGAATATAAAACTAAGAAAATTTTTCGCCTTGTAATTATTTTTCTCTTTCTTTTGCCTACGCGGTTTTGATCTTTCTCAACACTTTGGTTCTTTGTCCAATCATATACGTGTAGAGATATAAAAACCCTGGGATATACAACACTATAGCGTATTTCAAGAAATAGTAGTAGTATGGTAACCTTTGTTTGACATAATTGTAGGAATTGTACACGGTCATACTTTCGCAAACCAACCCCAATGGATACAAAACAAAAAATGCACTGTACCTAAGCCAAACCAACCAGTATGGGGGTATTTTGACCCCACTTAGTTTTATAGCGTAGAACCCGTATCTGATTATTTCTGTGATTGACCATGCCAAAGTTAACCCAGAAAATACAACAATATCATAGTTGGCTAAACTTTCAGGAATAACAACACAAACGCCCACCATAATAATTAACCTGGCAAATGATTGCAACAATAGTGTGGGGATGGGGGTTGGGACAATTCCAACAATCGAATGTGTTATCTCTGTCATGGAATTGAAAATTTGAGTATACACCATGAATTTGTGTGGGATTGTATCAAGCTTGTAGTAACCAGCAGACCAATCTCCAACACCTTGGACAAAGATGCATAGCCAAAGAAATGCTGATACACTGTTATAGCAAATAAGATATCTCTTCATTACCTTGTCCTAAGAAATATAAAATTAGAGATCAGTAAAGAAAGAAGATTTTCCAACAATTTTATACTAAATTTGGTTAAAATTTCACGTGAAAAAAAAAAAGAGAAACACTTTAAAGAATGTATATTTGGTCATATCAACCAACTAATTTTGTTTATACTTATCTAAAATAGCATTTAAGGTGTCTTCGTCACCAGCAATCAACTCATTTTCCCAATCAACAACCAATGGAGCACTGAACACGTCTGCCGATTTTGTGTTTATAGAAGGCGACTTGGACTCCTCTAATTTATTGAATGTTTCATAAATCATAGCGTACTCGGATGGAGAGAAGATCTTGTTGTTCCATTCAGCACCTTTAATGGTAACTGGATTACCTTTACTATTATACAATTCAACATTCTTATCATGCAAAAAGGGGAAGCAGTCGTGTAAAATCGACTTGTCAGTGGCATTCTTCACATACTTGCTAGTAATCAACTTATACTGGTCATAAGTTGGCATTTTATCCTTCATTACATCAATTTGGAATTCATGCTTTGCTTTTTCTGGTTGAGTCTCATAAGCCTTTTGCAAAATATCATACAACTTGTTGGAAAGCGGGATAGCTTGATTGTGGAAAATCGAAACGGTTGATGGAGAATTTTGTAAGCTTCTGAAAAGGGACATGTTTTTCTTAAGATGGTTAGAATATGAAATTGACTTTAATTGAAAAAAAGAATGTTGAAACCAGGATTAAAAAAAAGGATTCAATTAAAATACTTTGAGGGTCTGTCCATCAACTCCTTCATACTGTAGCAATCAAACCGAATGTTCTCCTGGGTTCTTACTCCTTCTTTTTCTCCAGAAATTAGTTTCTCGTGCAGCATAGGGGCGTGTCGCAAAATAAAATGTCGTACACGACACGTCTCGTGATATTGCCAAATCATGACTATCAAAACATAAAAGAAATATTTACACAATTTTTTTCTTTCTTTCTTTTTTTTTTTTTTCATGTTATTCATAACTTTTTCTTTTACAAAACCAATTACCAAACATGTGTCGTTTTATGATTTATAAAGGAAGAGAGGAGATGGTCCTTTCTGATCTTCTTACAAAACCAGCCCACTCAATCATCAACCAGTCATTCGATTCAAGATTAAGATTAGATATGAGAAATCCCGTCAATGGAGATGGGTTTGGTGTGGGTTACTATTCAGAAAAACACCACCCATGTATTTTCAAAGCTATAACTCCAGCTTGGAATAACGTCAACTTGAACAATCTTGCTGAATGTACTGAATCAAATCTTGTTTTTGCTCATGTTCGTGCATCCACACAGGGTGTGTTATCCGAGACAAATTGTCATCCTTTTTCATATGGAAGAATCATGTTTATGCATAATGGTGGTGTATCGTCATTTAGTTCCATCAAGAAAAGACTTATAAATCATCTTGAAGATAAAATATTTCTTTCCATCCAAGGTTCTACAGATTCTGAATGTTGTTTTGCATTATTCATAGACACACTTTACAAAATGGGATACGATGCTGAAGATTTATCAGTAAAGTTCACCCATTCAATCCTCAGGAAGGCTTTACTTACGACTATTGATTTGATTAAAACATGGCAATGTGAGGTCACTGATGAACCATCACTTTTAAATTTTGCTGCTACTGACGGAGAATCCGTGGTTGTCAGTAGATACATCACTTCCAAGACCGATGAAGCTGCGTCGTTACATTTTAGTACTGGATCCAAGTTTTTTGAATACGCCCCTGGATTGTTTAAAATGGAAAGATTAAACAGATCGCAAGATGTTATTTTTGTGTCCAGTGAACCATTGACATTTGAACGAGGAGATTGGTTATGTGTACCAACAAACACTATCATTACCATAACTAATAGAAACACTGTGCTAATGCACCCAATTGAAGATGAATTCTACGACGGTGGAGAAAACCAAAGATCAGCTGGTTTGGCCATGAGTAAAGGATTGATTGGTGGTGTCCCAACTAAAGAAGTAGAAATTGATTCCACGGTTGCTGAAGTGCCGCCTTTAGATAGAGAAGGTAGAGTAGCCATCAATGTATAGACAAAAAAAAGTAATACATACATACACACATACATAACAATAATAATAATAATAATAAAATATTCCTTTATATATATATATATATTCTTAACTAAATTAATAATTGTATATCGTCTAACCTTTACTAGCAGATCTCGTTAGTTTCGTGTTTTGCTTATCATCCTCTTCTTCGTCTTCAGAGCTGCTTGAGTCATCACTAAATTCGTCATCATCTTCATCGTCGTCGTCGTTATTGTCGCCAACTTTCTTCAATGAACCAGTAGAATCATACAAGGAGTTGGTCTTCTTGTAGGACATCCCATCGTCATTTGGATCTATATACTCATCGTCTTCGTCATCATCTTCGCTGGAAGTCTCAAGTTCATCTTCGTGTTCGTGATTAGGTGTTATTGAAGGGTTTGTTAACTGCTGTGACATGTAATTTGAAAAATGGTCATCGTCATCAGACTCGGATTCATCACTATCTAATAAATCTCTCTTTTTTGGCTCTTCAAAGACTAAACCTGTCTTAACCTCGTCTATGATTTCCCCCAATCCTTCATCAAAAGTAGTGCTTTCTTCTTCTTCTTCCTCATCGTCTTCATCTTCATCACCGCCACCTAAGATGGCATTATACTTTTCTCTAGTATCATACAACACATTATTCACATACTCCTCCCAGACTTCACTTTCAACTTTAAGATCAATCAATTCACTAAGTGTATTTGAAGGGTATAACTGAACAAACTTGACAACTTCTTCGGCAATTAAGGTCAAATGACCCATGAATCCTAATCTCAAGCCATTATGTAAAACTTCGTAATCAGTACATAACTTTTGTCCTTCAATGATCTTATTGGTAATATCTCCCAGGTGAAACAAATCAATCGCCAAAAACTTGTTGAACCCAATCTCCATTGATCCATTCAAAACTTGTTGTACAATATCAAATACCACATTGTGCAAGAAATTATTCCATGGGAAACGGAAAAACATGGACAAGATATTGGATATAATCTGGGTATCAAACAAAGCAACCTTCAAGAAATCTCCCACAACAGGATTGGCTCTTATTTGCTCTTCTGTCAAATTGGCATTTGCATGTGGCTCCTCATCATCAATGCTATCATCACCATTGAATTCGTCTATGGTATCATTGGCGTTGACAGCAGAGTCCAGATTAGAACTGGAATTGCTTTCGTCAGGAAGGATGATTGTTTCATTGTACTTGAAACTGATTGGGTCAAAGTCCCTCATTTTGTTTCGCAATTCGTCTCTTTCTCTAACCACATCAGCTCCCCTATTTTCATTAAGTAATGCCATGTTGGAGCAATGTAACAACTCAGCAATCAACTCACAAATTTTAAATCTTTCAAATCCCAATGGTTCAATATCACCAAATGGTGTTTTCAACTTACGTTCTGGATCCTCTTTAACTAACAATTCATTGAAATCTTCAATCTTTTCTCCAAATACGCGCAACAAGTGGCCCAAGTATATAGGGTCTCTACCGGTTGGTGGATGGTTCTCCAATCGTATGTGCAAGATTTGTAAGATATCATAATCTGAATTATTCTTTCTGATAATCTCTATTATGATCCCAACACCATTTGCTAAGGCATAACCTCCTTTCAACATAATATTACATAAACGTGTCATTTGCTCGTGAGAAACCAATTCTCTTGTTAATTCATTAGGACCAATAGTGGAATTATCAGTTGTGGAGTTTGCAGATATCGTAATCAAAGCCTTCAAAAAATCCGCAGTTGAGCTTTGTTTAATCAACAGCAATTCGTAATTCTCCTTGTCATCATTTGAAATATCTAATGCATCAATTAAATGTGTAACCAAGTTTTGGTTCTGTAAAAAATCTATTATACCAGTCGAATTATCTGGCTTATCTGTGGATATTAATTTAAGTAGGAAATCCATCAATGGTGGATTCGATAAATGATTTATAAATTTGGCAACCAAGTTTGGCTGGTTTTCAATCAAATAGGTTATCATGTCATCACACTTCATATCTAATAAATGTTCCATAATCTTCATAAAGTATGTGGACAAGTTGATACTCAAAGGCTCTTTGTTATCAAGAATCTCCCACAATCTATTTAAATTCTCAGTCGACACCATCACTGCATCAGTCAAGGACCACACATCAGCACTCAATATTTCAGCAGCAATGGTTGCTCTTTTAGTAGCTTTTTCTTCTTCTGTTTCTGCTGGCTCATCATCATCATCATTAGCAGATTTGCCGACTTCGTTGTCTTCATCCTCTTCTTCTTCTTCTTCATTGTTGTCAAACTTTAATGAACTCTTTTCACTAGTTGAATCTTCTTTTTCGGTTTCTTGTTCCTGTTTGTCATTTTGCTCAGCATCATGGTTTGCTTCTTCTTCGAATTCATCGATAATACCTTCAGTTATCACTAAATCAACAAGCATGCTCAAAACTTTATCTTCTCTTAAAAATCCCATCAACATCGGATTATTTGACAATAATTCTTGCAACAAGTCATTTTCAGACAACAACTTCAACAAAATCCTAAATTGTCCACCTTCTTCTATCTTCCCCGATTCTTGATCTCTGTTGTAGTCCTCTAATAACGTTGAGATATTTGAAAGTGATGTAAACCCATTACTAAATTTCCAAAATGATCCTGACATTATGCGACAAATGCAATTTAATTAATACAATAAATAAAATACTAAACTTGAAATGAACAAAATAAAATGAAAATGAAAATATGAAAATAATGAACAAGAATTGTAAAATGAGCAATGCAAATGTGTAAAATCTAGTTGAATGGAAATGATATTGATCGATTAAATAACAATACTCTTCTTTGTTGGTGGTTCACAGTAACTCAATACTTACTCAAACACACACACACTGTCTTTCACTCCTCCAATCAATGGATACAAAAATTGAAGTAGAATAATAACAAACAAACCAAAAAAAAACTAATAAGTCTTCTTCCTTATAGCTATTGAGTATTCAGATCTAATGTCAATGAAATTCAATAACAAGGATTTTGAAAATACCTTTCCAATTATTAAGATAGAAAGAAATTGTTTTCGCCTTGATGAATTTTCTTTTTTTTTTTTTTTCCTTTTGTTTTAATTAACAAATTTTTCTTTTCTTCTTCTTCTTCACTCACTTCTTGTTGGCACTACACTGTAAGTTAACACAAGCTAATAAAAAAATTGTTGACAAAAAAAAAAAAAAAATTCGCGGTCCTGCAGAGAAACCCTCATACAAAAGGAAATTCTACTACCAAAAGAAAAGCAGAAGAAAAAAACAAAAAAAAAAAAAACGAAAAATCTTCACTCATTATCCAATAATAATACACCAATCAAGGATTCAAGTACAATGTTCTTCAGATCAATAATAGGGTCTACTGTCAGACCTGCAAATTTCCTAAATACTTCCAGATTACTTTCCACTGCCATTCCTTCAGCAGCTACAACCTCCCCAGTCTCAGCCTTGAAGTTCACCTCAAATGGATCAAGAGATTTATATGCCATCATGAAATTACACAACTTACCTTATTTAGTCACAAAAGGTGATAAAGTATACTTGCCTTACAAATTAAAGAATGCATCTATCGGTGATGTTTTAAACATAACAGAAGTCACAACCTTGGGTTCTCCTTCATACACATTGAATGCAAAAGAAGGAATTGCTCCAGAATTATTTGAATTAAAAGCCAGTGTTGTGGAAATAACTAGAGAACCAGTGTATCAAGTTGTTAGAAAGAAGCAAAGATGTAGAAGGAAGAAGACCTTCAATGTTGAACCATTTCAAACTGTTCTTATGATCAACGAATTGAAATTGAAATAAGGAATATTTTTATATTGTTACATAAAATTCATCTTGTACATAATCTTTTACTGTTATACATAATCATTTCAGCAAGCTTGGTATTTGCAAAATTAAACTCGCACTCTGGGGCATTCACGAATGGATCATTCAACAACTCTTCTGCAGTTGGACGTAACTTTGGATCAATTGTGAAACACCTATTGATAAATCTCTCAGCAACAGGGCTAACCAAATGAGCAATATCTTCAGGAATTGGAGGAGCAAGTTTTTCCTTCCCGGTCTTGTAGATAACACTGATCGCGGCCTCGTTGGACCATGGTCGCTTACCAGCAAACATTTCTAATACAACACATCCTAAGGACCAAATATCAATCTTGGCACTATACCCCTCAGCCATGCTATCGATAACCTCTGGTGCCATCCAGAAAATAGTTCCTTGCATGGACATATTCGCATTGTTTGCATAGATATCGTTGGACCGCTTGGAAATTCCAAAATCGGAAATCTTACATGTCCCATCTACTTCAAGCAACAAGTTATCCGCTTTTAAGTCACGATGAATGATATTGTTCAGGTGCAAATATTCTAACCCAAGAAGTACCTGTTTTGTGATAAATCGTATCAACGGCTCTTCAAATTTTCCATAAGACTTCAAGCACAGTGCAATTGAACCCCCAGCAACGTACTCGAGGAACAAACTATAGATATTCTTCTGCTGTTCACATCCTAAGTATTGCACTATATTTACATGGTTCAAATCCTTCATGGTCTCAATCTCTTTGTTCAAGGCTTCAATAGCCTCCTTGTTGTTTCGCATGTATGTGACCTGTTTGACTGCTAACATTTCACCTGTGGTAACATTGAATCCCAAATACACATCACCAAATGATCCTCGTCCAATCAATTCACCTTTAATCCAAGCATACTCCTCAAAAAATCCGTTCTTATTCCGAAGTTTGCTGACAAACCCTTGTTCAATCTCCTGAGAAGTTACTTCCACAACTTTCTGGCCCCACATTTTAGTATTTGAGCGCGTTAATTTGGCACTATTTTCGCGCGACAAGTTTGCAAATGTATTTGGAGGTGACGCCTGTTTCATTTGTAAGACTTTACGACGTGCTTCATTGGCAACACCTCTAATTGTTTTCATTCTACGAACCCGCAATGACGGTTGTAAAACATCTTCAGGATCTTCCTTGTTTTCATTATTTCTGGAGACAATAGGGGATTTATTAGCATTGGAAAATGTTCTGGAAATAGTTGGTCTTCGTTGGAATTGAACTTGTTGCTCTTGATTTGGTTGCAGAAATGATGAAGGTTGTGCCTGTGATGATGATGATGATGATGATGATGATAATGATGGTAGATTCTGTTGTACCAACGGCGAGGCAGGAGAGTCATCAATAATAGGTTTATCTAGATTTGTATATGGGAAATACTTTTCAAGGTTATTGTATACTACCTCCACGGGTGGACGAATATTCATTTTTGAAGGTTTCTTGTTTATTGGCTTGACAAAAAAATCCTCATCGTCATCAGAATCAGAATCTTGAGCTGTAATTGGTGAAGATTGTCTCTTAATAGGTTTAACAAAAAAGTCGTCATCCGATTCATCCTCTTCTTCCTCTGCCTTGCTACTAGAAGTAGATGACTCTTCCTTTTCCAGAGACCCTTTCTTCTTTGTCATTGGTTTCACAAAAAATGCATCTTCACTATCGCACTGGGACTCGTGACTACTTTTCTTGCTACCCAAACTACTGTTTGAAGTGAAACTATTCGAAGCAATACTCTTTGTTGAAACTGACCGTGATCTATTCTTAAGAATCGAGTCCTGTCTCTGGATCTGGATCTTTCGATCACCAGGTGGTGGCGGCGCAGCTCTCTTTGCAATAATTGAATTCGTTCTACTAACACTGTCGAGAACATTCTTAGGACTAGCTTTATTGTCGTGATTTTTTAAGCCATGGTCGTCCTTCAATGCCAGAATGGTAGATGCTGATATTGGCGATTTTTTCAAATCGGACATAGATGACGAATAAATGTTGGCAATTATTTTAGGTGCTTTGGCTTCATATGGAGACTTTCTTCTCTTATCAAAATCAATTTCATGTCCTTCTTTTCGAAGCACCCTGAATGAAGACCCAGCTGAGGAAGGTGACTTGGAGATATTGTTAACCCCAGACGTATCGATTTGCAAATGCGGAACTGCGCTTGCCTTTTTGTTTGTCGTGACAAACGGGAACTTTAGCGGAAATTCTTTTTGCTTGGATTTATTGTCATTTTGAGTTGGATCATGAACAGGGATCTTACCAGGGACTTCTGAAATGCTGCTCAATTCCTTGAAATTCCAATAATCCACTTTCTTATCACTGACACTCTGTAATAAATATTGAGGTGTTGCAGGATATGCCTTGTTTCCATCAGTAATGAAAGATTTTGAGTCTGAAGACGTGGTCGAGAACGTTGAAGCTTCTTGCGGGGACTTCAATTCTTGTCGAATCACAAATTTTAATAACCCTTCAAGTCGCAAAATTCTAGGCAATAATTGATCAGGGATAGCTTCACCTTCCTTGTGATGGAACTCAGTCAAGTGCAAAGTAATGGACCCAATATTGATCAATTCAAGTGCTTTGATTATTTGACTCTTTGCATTTGAAATGTCAGTTATCACCACGGGAACAAACAGGTTGTTGTCTTGACTAACCAAGACTGTCGTCTGTGTACTAATCTCCTGTGTTGGTGTAGACTTGTTACTTCGATGCTGTATTGGCAAATACTTTTTCTCCAACGACACTTCATCCGAAAACGATCTGGTTGATTTAGGTGATTGGGTACTGTCCAGAGATATCTTTCTGTCAGAAAAATCAGGATTTAGTTCTAATGGAGGAGGGGGGTCCAACGGTGGAAAATATGATGAATTCCTTTGTTTAGAATTTTTGGATATTTTATCACCACCATACTTCCGTAATGTACTGAGAATTCCAGTGCTTTTCTTGTCACCTTTTGGTACATTTTTTAAACGATTATCGTCAAAGGAACTGTATCGTTTCTTAGCATCTTTGGTTTCATTTGATGTACTTCGACTATGTTTCTTGAAAAACAGATGGTGTGAAGGCGAAGACAATTGGTCTTTTGATTTGGGATCAATGTATGACATGGGTCGTTGAAGCGAGGATGAGGAATTGGAAGACGATATGGAAGATGTGGATGTGTGTTTCGGGTACACTGGTGTTGACTTTCTGTTTTCATACTTTATCACCAGTGGAGAAATTTCTCCTCCAGATGGTTTACGAGGCTGTGGCACTTCGTGGGACGACTCCATTCGTAGCAATTCAATAAATCGATCAACAGAATTTAAATCATCATCTAGTTGTAAAAACTTTGAAAACTGCTTCCAAATCACAGACTCTTTGTCAAAATTTTCCAACTCTAAAAACCTGTTCCCGGAGATTTCATTCTTCCTGAATGTTTCTTTCCAAGAATTGTTAAATTGATGCTTATCAAGCCATTTAATGACATTGGAAATCTGCCATTTATTGGATGCATTCACCAACGGGGACTGGGTATTCATGGCATACCGTACGAATCTCATATCTTTATTTACCTGTTCGGAGCCATTGGATATAGTAGATGCATCTGAGCTCTGTCTCGTGTGTTGCTGTGCTTGTGATTGAAAATCAGTCGGAGGATAAGGTTGAAATTGTTGTTGAGGTGGTGGTATTGACATTGGTAGTTGTTGTTGTTGTGTGGATGATGGAGGTGTTGGTGATCGCAATGACAATGAGTGGGGCTGAGAAGTCAGGTTCAGTAGCGGTTGGAAAGGTAGTTGTGGTGCTTCATCTAAAAATTTAGGTTTTTCCAAATCCAATGAACTCTTGCTATAGTCATAACTTCCAATGATTGACCCGATTGCATTTGAACTTAAACTTGCAGTTCCAGATTTTGCCGGAGAAGGTGCCCCAGATTCAACAATTGTGGAATCACCTCCTACTGCCTCGGGTGATTCCAAAACGGGACTTACTACTGGTTTCTTCGAATAAGGAAAGACATCGGATTGTACTGGTGAGATGAGAAACTCTTGAAGTGAATCTTCCTGATCGGAAAAGCTAAAGTTTGCATTGCTAGCCTTCAGAGATTTCCTTGAGCCGGCATCTTGTAACTGATCTGGTATCGACGAGTGAGACTTGGCAAATGGCAAAATTGGTTGTGGATATGGTGAAGAACTGTACATTGCACTGTCAGAAGCTACTCTTGGTTGTTGTAATGCTTCGGTACTTTGCAGTTTGAAAGACTGGGACGGTAATTTAATTCGTTGTGCATCATAACTGACTGAACGTCTGTTATTCTGTTTGTCCACTCCTTCTTTAGAAGGATTCGATGTAGTGTATGGAAACAGCACTGTGGATGATTTTATTTTTAATAATGTCTAATTGTTGTCGTGAACAAGAAAAAGCAGGTACAGTTCTGTTTTTTTTTTTTTTTGACGGGGCCAGTTCAGTTCAAATCTGGTTTAGTTTATTTTGGTTCTCCTTCTTTTTTTGTTTTGATCGGTATTTTTTTTTTCTCTCCTTCGCTCTGCTATTAATAGACACTTGTTTTGGTTAGACCACAACAATGGAAAAACTTGATGAATTTTCATATTTCCCTATGAAGTAAACAAACCCATTTCAGTTAATCATATGGAGTACCACGATCTACTACATACAATTGTCAAAGAGCTACACACGCTCAAGGATTTTAAACCTGGGGATGAAGCCACAGAGTTTGAGCACCTACTACGATCGGTTTTAGTCAAATTGACAAATGTCCTTGGTATAGATCTTCCCATTGGAGAACTATATTTCACAACGAGTAATGACAACATCGGGAACTTAGAAATCAAGTGTTATGGAGACAAAGATGGACAGATCATCAATAACAACAATATTTTACAATATCTTGAGAAAAGACACGTATCGACATTGCAGGCAGTAGTCGATATACTTGATCATCGAGCAACCAAAATCAAAGGTCCATATTCAGCTATATTTACTGGAATTTCCCAATTGTTTGAAACTCTATTACATCAGCGAGATGAAGCTGAACATGCATTAATTAATTACGTGTGGAAATGTCTTTCCTATGAAATTAATTTTTACCAAGGAATTGTGGATAATATTTTGAGTCCTGATGACACAGAGAAATTGGTGAATTACTTTGAATCCCATTTATCTGACGAAGACTCTATGTTCAGTTATAATCATATTGTTGATGTTCCATTGGATTTAAATATAAATAGTGAATCATTTATGAAAATATATCGTACTTGTTTGGGTGTCTGCAATTCAGAAAAATCAAATATCAAACTGGTAGCCACGGCAGTTGTTTCTATTTACAAGAACCAAGAGAAGATTGACTATTTCGAAATGCATGAAATAACAAAGACATTGGCTGAATTTTGCAATTCCATTTTACCAAAGCTGTTTCAAGCTATGAGCGATAGAGTGTTAGTTCAAGTATTAAAGGTGCATGATGAAGACCCCAAATCGCTATATACACATCTTGATGACATAATTGAAGACTTTATTGCAGTAGGGGTTGAAGGTATTGATAGGGAGTTCCCCTCTTTAGTTAAACATTATATCAATTGTATGCATAACGAATTTCCAACTCTTGTTGACACTCAAGACCACGAGTTTCTTTCTACACTTGCAAGTTTGATCAACCAAGTGTTAGAGTTTAGAGATAATGATGAAAATGTAACAGATATAAAAGATGTTATCGCGGAGTTTGTTTCCTTGAACAAATTATTGCTGAATGATAATTATTTACATTCATCCACCTTGCTAATGCGAGCAAGTACTAATGATTACTACAAGAAAATTCAAATTGAGAGAATTACTTTTGATGGTTGGAGAGAAAAGCTAAACAGGGTGTTATTATTAGATCAGGTAAATTTGGGGCAAAATGGTGTTAAGTTACGATACTTGGAAACATGGTATAGCGAAACTATTAGAATTCAAGAACGGGATCTTGTTGTGGGCCATTTCTACCAGAGTCAGTTGTGCAGAAAAATCTTGCAACGTTGGAAATATCTACTTGAGTCAGACAAGCTGTTAGAGAAGAAGGCAAGTGGGTTTTTCATGAAGAAGTTTTTTAGCAAGTGGCGGCGTTCCTATCTCACGGTTGACAAAAATTATCAAACAGCAGTAGAATTTGACAAGACTGCATTATTGACCAAGCACTTTAGCTGGATGAAGGGTATTGAGAATCTGAATAAGCTAAGCAATGAATTGGCATTGACACTTTATAATTCATTTGAGGAAATGAGAGACTTACGAATCGTACAAAGAATTTTCCACTATTGGTTTGCAAAAATTGCCGCGAAAGCAGGGGATCTAACCAAAAGATTTAATCTATTTAAGGATTCAAAGTCGTATACATGTATTGATTCAAGTATTTTTACAATAATGGAGATTCAAGTCGAGGTTATTGGAGATGTCTGATAGGCTCCTGTACCCAAAGAGATGTCAGTTTTGCTACTGTACATGTTCACCAAAGTGTGGCAGAAACGTTTCTACTTGAATGAACGGGGCATATGCGATTGAGGAGGAATTGAACATGATTCTAAGAAAGTCGTTGTTTACCAAATGGAGGAACTCGGTGCAGTTGGATACAAAAGCAAATGGCTTTCTTCACCGTCATTTGATTTCTAGTGCATTCAATAAATGGAAATTGAAACTGAAATCCACAAACAGGCAAAGGTATTTCCAGGACCTAATTGTTTCTCGGTATTTCCAGAATTGGGTTTTGCAATTGAAGCTTTCTAGCTTTTTGAAAAAGAAAAATGATCAACAAGCCAAAGTAATTTTCAGTAAATGGAAAGAAAGACAAGCTGTATTATCTACTTTGGTATCAAAGTCAACCAAATTTCATGACACGAAATTGCAACAGGCAGTTATAGATAAATGGAATTCCGAGCTTGTGAATGTACAGCACTTAGAAAACCGTGCTGATGATTTTTTCAAACGTCGATTCTTGGTCAATAAATGGGAATCCAAAATATTGGAACTTGATGATAGTATTGTTGTTAAGCATTTGCCTGATGAAATTGCCACTAGACTTACTTTTACTATTTGGAAGCAAAAGTTTTTCATTCACCTTGAAGATAAATTGCAATGGAGAATAGATCAGTTAGATTCCACATATTCTAACCACCTTCGAAAATCACGAATACTTGATCTTTGGCGATCCAAGCTACAGACGGTAAAAAATTTAGATAGTGTCATGCTCGTTCCGCAAGCACAATATGCTAAATCCAAGCTTGAATTTTGGGTATTGAAAACAGAATATTCTAAGCAATTGATGGATACTGCTTTGAGATGGGAATCCACCAATATTACTTCAAAGTTCCTACGTATTTGGTTTGAAAGATTGCAAGTGGCTCATTTGTTAGAAGATACTGCTGAGGATTTTGAGGTGGAGTCCAATTTCAAATTGGCAAGAGATATTCTTCGAAAGTGGTCAATGCATTATACAAAGAATACAAAACGTCACCAACAGTTATGTGCAGACCATATTGCGAAAAAGAAGCTTGAGAAGTTTAGGTCGATATTTGAATTGTGGGTTTATAAGTCCAAGGAAGTAGAAGCAAACACCACTGTTTATTCAAATGGATCACCACTATCGAAAAAGGGTCAGGTTACACGGCAATTAACCACTCCACAGAAACGTATTTCCCCATTAAGGGGATCTTCAACGCCTGTGTCTAAAGGACCAAGCCCAATAAAATTCCAGGAAACAACCCAGAGATTAAAAGATCAAAAGATGAGTGCGTTACGTGAACGGTTAGGACGAGCTCGAGGAGCTTCTCCACCAATGAAGTTAACTCCGGTTAAGTTGGATTTTAAAAAGCCAACCACTACCACAACCACTACTGCACCAATACTTGGACCGCCCCTGCCTCCACATTTTAATGTTTCAGATATCGCAACTGCTAAACTGTCTGGTCGTATCAGACCAATGATGTTCCCAGTAGATGGAATATCGCATTATTCTCCTATGGATAAGAGTAAACTACGAGCTAGGAATCCAACTTAATTCATAGTTATCTGTATAATTCATGTGTTTTTTTTTTCCTATTCATTTAGTATAACACTTTCAATCTCGTTAATTTGGTCATTCACCTCTTCGCGAATTTCATCTGGATTCAACTCTTCTGCAAGAACTGCTTTAGGGCTTTCTTCAGTAACGATTTTCGCATTAACGTTGACATTTTTGTAAACATGTAAATAGTCACTAATAACAACAGTCGATCGTATAATACTGTGCAAGGTAGTTAGCTCTCCGGTAGCCAACTCGGTTATTATCGTCTTGATAATATTCAGAACCACTGTGTTGTCCTTTTTTTGGGCATTCAACAATTGAATAAAAATATCAAGTGAAATTCTTTCAAAAGCCTTTGCGGTATACAACTGCTCCCAGCCCTTCAATTCATTGTGTGTAATAACAATGTCATAATTATTGATATCAAAACCTTCTTCTGTTTTATCGTATATGGCCACCAGCGAATTGGTCAATTCTCCAAAGCGGGTAACCCCAGTCATACATGCTGGAACATCCATATGAATTGATATCGGAGTATCCTTGTAGTGTTCCAAAACATAGTTATTTGTAAAAGTTAAAGCATCCCCACCTGGATAATTGAAACTGGAAATGTAACCCATTTGCAAAGACAATATGGAACTAACAACTATAGTGGCGACAATGATCATGCCCAATAATCTATTAGCAAAGTTTAAACTCCATTTTTGGAAAATATTAGTAACCCCGTTTGCAGCTTGTAAAGTAAAAATTGGCACAGTATAGATGATAAATCTCCATTCCTTGTGTGGTTGAAATGACATGGCAGCGATAAACAAGATCGAAGATGTAAACAAAATATGCAAGGAATATCTAGCTGGATGTGAAACTACATTCTTATCACCCAAATTTGTTCCGTCATCTGCTGGATCACCTACCAAACCAGGAAGTGCCAACATCAAAATAACAGGAGGTCTAAATAATTGAAAAAGATATTTTTGGAAATATGCTCCCCATGGCTCAACACCCCATTCACTGGATTTTCCATTGACAATATTAAAAACAAAAGACTCCACTTCGGGAACCAAGATCCTTCCCCAGAAGTAGGAGTCAACACACCCAGAAGCGACTGCACCCATTATGGTTCCCATCGTCAAGTATACGAAGTTTACAAAAACATTCGACTGTCCAAACACTATCGACGATACAAGTGCGATTATTACAGCGAGCACACCAACTTCCAATCGGAAAACTACCCCTGTGAATGCTAACCATGTGAGTCCAGAAATGTCGCCAACTATCATCTTGCTAAATGCAAAATTTACCAATGGCAATGCAATGAAGTTTGGCAAAGTACGAGACGAGTAGTACATCAAGTGGAACTGAGATAACAAAAGAATCAGATACCAAAACCCAATCATTCCCTTGACTTTGCTTTTCTTATCACGGAAAGTCACTTTATTTAAACTATCTCTTAATTTTATCAACATCAAGGCATTAGCCAAGCCAAGTAAGGCACGAACCAATTTCTGTAAATCGTATCCCGTGAGTTCAAAACCAAATACTGAGGCTAATACCATAAATGGCTTTGTAAATCCAGCAATGGCTAAACTCCCGATAAATGTTCTGGGCACTACACCCGGGAACTGTTTATGATCATAATTATCAATTACTTCAATTGGGAAAACCCCAAACTTAAGTATATCATGAATTGCCTGAATGTTAAACGATTCCTCAACTTTTGTAAATGGAGACAATACCAAATGAAAAGATATCAATGCAATTAATGCACTGTCCAATAGTCTATAATGACGATACATTGTGTATGGTACCAAAGTGGCAAGTAACTATCTCTATAACTAAACTGTATAAAAAGAATAGGAAAAATTTCAACAGAGCAAACAAAGGGAGAACTGAAAAAAGAGAAAAATCTAACAAATATAAAAAAAAACCTTTGCGCGGTATTATTCTCTCCGTTTCCTACGGCACTGAATTTAAGGTTAGTATCATCGTATCAAGTATGGATGAAATCCCTGAACTAGTTGAAGAACTTCCTACAGATGGAAACATCAAAACTGAGAAAGTAGCTGTTACTCCATTTGTACCTTTCTCCCTGACTCCCACAGCATTAGAAAAGAAGATCCCGATCACGATTATCACTGGGTATCTTGGATCGGGAAAATCAACCTTGTTGACAAACATTGGAAAAACAACAAACAAGAGATTGGCTATCATTCTTAATGAGTTTGGTGACTCTTCGACAATAGAAAAATCAGTAACAATACAAGATCAAAATGATAGTGTTCAAGAATGGTTGGATATTGGAAATGGCTGTCTTTGTTGCACGGTTAAAGACAATGGGGTAACCGCCATTGAAAATTTGATTGAGAACTCTAAGGATAAGATTGATTATATATTGTTAGAAACAACTGGTATTGCTGATCCTGCACCTATTGCAAAAATGTTCTGGTTAGATGATGGGTTGGCATCAAATATTTACATTGATGGAGTGATCACTGTTGTTGATGCAGAACATATAGCCAAGTGTCTAGATGACGTTGGTGGTCATTGGCACCAAGAGAATTCAAGAGAAGAATTGGAACTAGAAGAGGGGATTACTACTGCCCATTTACAACTTGCATTGGCAGATGCAATATTACTAAACAAAAGAGATAAAGTTGATGATACACAACCTATAATTGACAGAATTAGAAAAATCAACCAGAACTCACCAATATATCCTACAAGTTTTGGAGACATTGATGTCAGCAAGATTCTTGATCTTCATGCATTTGATGTCAATGCGAAATTGCCATCAACGGAATCCACATTTCATGATGATCGAATCAGTACTATAGCTGTTGATTTCCCATTTTTCAAGGAAGAACTGGGTTTTGAAAACGTTGAAAAGTTCTTACAACACGTACTTTGGAATAATATTGTAAATAATAAACCGGTGGAAATACATCGTTTGAAAGGTTTGTTGGTATATAATGATGATGTGAGAGTCGTTCAAGGTGTTAGAGATACATATGAGATTATAGAAAATGGTAAATTGTTAGATGGTGTGACTAGCAACAAGCTAGTTTTTATAGGTAAGGATTTGAATCATGATGATTTGAAAATAGAGTTAAGTAAGTTTTTGTAAATGCACGACTTTTTTTTTTTTCCTTGTTACCAAATTTCTATGTGGACAAAAATTTTCAGTGAGTGTGATATGAGAAAAGGATTTTCATTTCTTTTTATTTTTTTTTTAACTATTTGGATTCACTGTACTTGCTCTCCACACAATTGACAAAAACACACTGTGGGATGACAGAAACCAAAGAGGTCAAGCCTAAGAAAGGATGGTCAAATCCAGCATTAAGAATGATGGGAATACCTAGAATCTCATTGCCTTCAAGAAATTGGATGATTTTTTGGACTGTTGTATCAACGTTTGGTGGTGCATATGCTTATGATAGATACGAACAAAAACAAATCAGAAAGAAATGGATGGAAGCAGTTCAGCATTATGGTGAGATCACATATGGAGTAGATAAATTACCTCGTAAATTGACTGTCTATATTGCACCAGCACCAAATGATTTTTTGGATGATTCCTTAAAGTTGTTTAGAAAATGTATCAAGCCCGTTTTAAATGCCGGTGTTCTTGATTTTGAAATATTCAGTGAAAGTAGACAAGGTGATATCAGATCTACTGTTGCTGAAAAAATTCGTGAATTAAGAAGAAATAACATTCCTGTTGCTGAAAGTAAACTGGAAGAAAAGAACTCACAAACTAACGAAGAACCAGAATATAAGAGCCGAGCTGATTTATATAAAGCTAAGGATGTTCTTGGTTTGTACAAAGTCTTTCCAGGTACTATAGAAATTGAATCAGAAGATTCCGTTGAGGACGTTTCACCAGGGGGTATTATCTGTATTGGTCGTGGGGCTTATAAGGAATACATGACTGGGGTCCATGAAGGATTATTGGGTCCACTTGAGAAGCCGGAAAATGTTAAAGAGGAAGAAGAAAAAATTGAATTGGAAAGGAAAAAGAAAAAGGAAGAAAATCCTGACGATGATGAAGATGATCCAAATGCCAATTTGAAGCCGGTTCCTTTACAATATATTAAACCTAAAGACTATGCAATTTCTCAGTTAGCACCAGAACTTGATATGACTACTGTGATAAAGGATAAGAATGGGGTACCAGTTTTCTTTGAACAACCAGTCTATGTTTATCCGTTACCAAATGTAGTTGGCTTCACCAACATTCCAAGAAAATTATACAATTGGTTTACTCAGCGTTTCCTTGTTGAAGACTTTGGACAAAGAACAGCAACAATTGTTGATAACAAAACCAGACCATTTGTTTATAAAGATGTTTTAATGGCTAAAGAAGAAGAATTCAACTGGCCAAAGAAATGGGTTGCTACAGGTAAAGAACGTGGTTCTGAATGGGTTCAAGAGTTGGAATGCGATGAACGTGTCACTTCAAGAATGAAAGTTTTTGAATAATGTATATTATTAATATTATTTTCTTGTCCATAGTGTGTAATTATAAGTAAAGTCACCTTCATTTATATTATCTTCTAGTGTGATTTCATCACCGATAAATTTTTGTAATTCTGATTTTGGTTGTTTGGTCCATTTTTCCAAGGGGAATTTCAAAAATGTGTCCATTTCAACTGATTCAGGGTTAGAGTGTTCTATTTCAGTGATCAATAATTGGGTCACCAATGGGTTGTTAATCAAATCGTTGTAAATTTCAGCACCTCCAATAATAAATACTCGATCGATGTTTGACATAAAAGATAATGAAGATTCTACTGAATTGGCATGGATAATGTTCTCGTCAATGATTTCGTTCTCATAAGATCTTGACAAAATAATATTTAATCTATCAGGAAGGGGTCTAAATTTAACGGGAATTGATTCCCAAGTTTTTCTACCCATAATCACAGCGTTTCGAGAATTTTCAACCGTTGTTTTCGATGTAACATCCTTGAAATATCTAATCTCTTTACGGAGTCTCCATGGCATCTTCCCATTGTTTCCAATACCAAGAGATGGTTTCAAAGCAGCAACAATAATAGATATAACCGGTTTTGATTGCATAGTTGTATGGTTAGCAGATGCTCTTGAAGTTGGAACTAATGAAAGAAAAAAAAAACTCCATACAAATGTGGAAACAAAAAAAATAAAAGAAAAAAAAAATTAAATCACATTATGGTAGCACGCGTTATTACATAAGACACGTTGTTGTACAATCCGAAGTGAAACACAGAAGTGTTGGGGGAAAAGGAAAAACTGTTTTACATCTTAATTAGATTTTGAAACACCTACACTACACAAAGGAATTGAAGAAAACGAGGAGGGGGACAAATAAAAAAATAATTACAATCAACTTTAACCCTTGAATTAATTTTTCTTTTTCTTTTTCTTTTTCTTTTTCCAATCTAGCATTCACTAGTGTTTCTACGTCTTCTATTCATTTTCAACTACCAGCAGATAATGGAAACAACTACAGAAGAGTTGTTTAGAAAATTGGTAGAGTTGCCGATAGATGTGGTTGCTATCATTCTTAGCTATTTACCCAAATGTATGCTTCCACATTTATTGTATTTCCCACCAATTAGAAATGTTGTTGCTACGTGTATTTTATCAAATGTCAAGATTGTCCCGATTGTTTCTAGACACTCCAAAAATTATCATTTACAGGATGTGTGTGAAGGGTGTACTGACGGTGCCATGCCGATTGAATTGTCAAAGTTAAAAAAAGGAATTAAGCAGTGGAGAATATATCCTAAAACTGTTCAGCTATGCTCATTGGATTCATTTAGAGTTATCAAAGATACTTACCCGTTGTTATTAGCCAAAGCTCAAGAAATTAACGGGTCATTTGACTTTCACGAAGGAGGAGATCGTAAGATTATGGTTGAAAGTGCTGTTAAGTTTGAACATTTAAAATTGTACGGCTTTGATACTTATTTTGAGGAGCACCCTGATGTGTTTCCCAAGAACGTTAGGAATCTTGAATTGGTTGGTACTGAGATCAAGTCATTCAAGATTGAAGGTTTGAATGGTTTAAGAATTCGCAATTCTAAGCCTCTTGACGAAGCATCGATTGCTACGCTTCCTGATGATTTGAAAATGTTGGAATGTGAAATACATACACATGGGGATTTTAATTTGCCAAGGGGTTTGCACACTTTGGGCATTGATGGTTTCTCCAATAATTCTAATTTCAAGCTTGGTCAGTTGGATCAATTGAAATTCTTGAATTTTTCATCGAAATTGACTACCAAAATTGATGATATTGGGCTAATTGCCGACAATTTAAAATCTTTGATTCTAAGCAGATGTACCAACTTAATGGACTATCAGAGATTGAGAAGGTTTAACAATTTGGAAATGTTTGCTATAGTTGAAGGATACTATCCAATTGATTTATTCAATGAGACCAGTTTCCCAAATATGAAAGAATTTATGTACAGTGGGAAATCAACGATATTTCCTCGGCCACTTTCACGAAACATAAAAAAAGAAGGTGAATATTTGAGGAAAATATCAAATTTGGAATTAATTCTACCACCTAATCTAGAAATGTTGGGTTTGACTAATGCAGAGGATATGCATATTAATTTTGCGAAATCGAAATTTCCAAGTTCACTTTCCGTTTTGAATTTGTATAATGTTTCATTCCGGAATAATCACTTTAATTTATTACCCTCATTAGTACATGTTGAAATCATCTCTGCGGCATTTGATATTGACAAAGATTTTTCTTTGCCTGAAAATGCAACTACGGTTTCTATTGACGCAGAGAGAATACGTATTAGTAACCTTGACTTTTTGTACCATCTACCACGAAAATTGGAGAGATTTGATCTCGCTGCATCAAAGAAAGTAATAATGCCAAAATTGACTCAAAAGGTAGAATGGCCGGACACATTGAAAGAGTTGGAATTACGTCGTCTTGATATTGATAGTGAGATGTTGGCAATGTTGAATTTGAAGAATTCAAATATTAAAAATATTGAGTTCTATAGCGGTAAGTTGGGTAAGTTAAACTTGAGTTTATTTCCTGTTGATATTGAAAGATTATTTTTGGAGAGAATGGGGATTACTGAGTTGCCTGAGTCGTTTGAAAGTTTGAGTAAGCTTCGTCATTTGTCGCTAAGAAGAAATTATTTTGGAAGAGTTAAGTCTATTAAACTCCCTAAGTTGCACTGCTTAAATGTGAATCATTGTGATTTACGTTTTATTTCACCATTCATAGAGTCGATGCGCCTGGAGAAAAAAGTCAAACCTTTAGGTGGGGAATCAGAATTACTTGTTAAGGCAATGGATAATTGGCATTTGAATCCTAAAGATGTCAAGAAACTGTTGAATATGAATAAGAACATGACGCTTACTGTGAATTCATTTGATATGGGGTTGCATAGTCTTTCAAATCACTCTAGTCGTTTCCTGTGTGATAGGGAAGTAGATGGTTTTTTGATTCTGGAGACAGAATATTCTGACTTTGACGAAGATGAAGGTTATGATACTTCCGACAGTTTACTGAGTCCCAGGGATTATTTAAGTGATTGTGACTGTAATGTTAATCATGAAGAAATGAGTGACGAGGATGAAATGGCAGATAATGTTGACAATTGGCAAGACCTATATGATGACGAAGAGGAAATTGAACAATACTATGGCAACTACAATGAAGATGATGATGATGATGATGACGATGATGGCGATGATGGCGATGATGACGATGATGAAGATGATTTAGTTGATTTTCCATTTTTTGAGTTTATGAGAGAAAATAATGAAGAATTTAATGGAGGTGGAATACGTCATATTGGACATCATGTCTTTATGGAAAGTGAAGATGAAGAAGATGATGGTTTTGCTGAGTTTGGGGATTTAGGATTGCCTCCTGATGCAGATGGTCTCAGCGTTCTTACAGCGTTGATAGGAATTAAAGCAATGCAAGACAATGGTATTCCGCCTGATCTTGCCCGTCGTGCAATTGATAGTGGGTTTCTTAGAGAATTAGTTAGACTGGAACTCGGAGATAGATTTCCTGGTTTGGATGATGACGATGATAGTGATGAGGGTGAAGATGATGATTAGTGTGAGATTGTTTAGAATGATCAATAGAAATTTTTGTATATTTATCCCTTATACATATACATATACACATCCAATTTTTGTCATTTATTGTGTAAAACAACACGACTTTTGTTGATGTGACACAAACACACACGACTCAGAGTAATTATCATTTTGTGTCATATGTGCGCGCAAAGATTAGAAACAAAAAAGAGAGAAGGCGGGTTTCAGGGAAAATTTCCAATCTCATTTAAACCACTTACAGTATGAATGAAAAGAAAACTAAGAATAAATAATAAATTTTCATATGTTATCATCACAAAAAAATTATCAAGGTGATTGGTTTCGTCAATTTAGGTCAATTTGATATATAATTCTTATATATTTGAGTATACTTGCTTAAGAATTAAAATGACTGCAAAAAAATGGTTCTTGTAAGAGACAGAGAGAGAGAATCAATCTGGTGGATATCGGTGATAACGAAAAAATGAGAAAATCAAGATTCATACTTAAGACATTGCATCACAAGTGGTTTGTAACAACATAGTGTTCTCTTTGAAGTGTTGGATAGCTCTTCTTTAATATATGAGAGGTTTGTTTCCTCACTTGCTAAGTTTAATTTCATAGAGTGCAATTCATATTTTGGGGGAATTTTTGTTTAAATTTCTTGCGAAAAAAATCATTTTTTTTTTTGAATGACCATCAATTAATTGGACTATCAACAGTAACCATAGAGGAGGAATTGAATAAGTAGAAGATTGTAATACATTTAATAATAAACACTATAAAATATAAGAACACTAAGAAAAAATGACAATAATAATTTATATATGAGAAAAAAAAAAAAGAGATAGAAAACATCAATGAAGAAAGAAAGAGTTTTTAAAAATACACACTAGAATTAAATACCAACATTCAACCTATTTTTTAGCAGCAGCGTCTTTTTTAGCAGCAGCTTTCTTAGTAGTAGCAGCCTTCTTAGCTGGTTTAGTTACTTTACCAGCTTTGGCTTTAGTAGTTGTGGATTTAGCTTTAGTAGCAGCTTTGGTCTTTTTTGGAGCAGCAGCTTTCTTTTCGGTCTTTTCAGCCTTTTCAGTCTTTTCGGATTTTTCAGCTTTCTTTGCTTTTGGTTTAGCAGCAGCTTTACCTTCTTTAGAAGCTGGTTTAGAAACCTTAGTAGTAGCTGGTTTTTCCTTTTTAGCCAATTTAACTGGACCAGATGGACCTTTTGGTTGAAGGAAGTCACCAGAAGCAACAGCTTTTCTTAAAGCTGTGTTGAACAAGGAATCAAAATTGGAAGTTTTAACATCATAATTTGATTGAACATATTTCTTAAGAGCTTGACGACTAGAAATAAAAGACAAAAAATCGTTAGTAAATCAGACAAGGGGGAATAGTTTTTTATGAACAACTTCACTAATCTTTGGTATGTGTTTTTTTTTTTTTAAAAAAAAACAACAACAACAAAAAAAAAAAACACAGTTGTCACAACAACAAAAACAAATTAAAAAGTAACATACGATGAACCGTTTCTTTCCTTCAAAGTAATGATAGCAGATTTGATCATATCTAATAATAAGATGTTAGTAAAAAGAAAACAAAGAACCAAGTTGATTATCAATGAAAGGGAAGGGTACCAACGACTTGCCATTCAATCGTTGTTTACCCCCTCTCCCTTCTCTTGAGTTTGGATTCACCAAAATCCCAGGACATTGAGAAATACACACCTTTGTAAGTAAGTTTTGCAGGAGTTGAAGCTGGAGCAGCAGCTTTATCAGTTTTAGCAGTAGCCATTGTTAGTAATTGTAAGATAGTCTAGGAGAATTGGATAATCTTGAAAGGAAAAGAAAAGTAAACAGAAACAACAAAAAAAAAAAAATGAAGAAAGAAGAAAAAAAAAATTGTGGGAATTCAGGTTGGTACATATTCAATTCGCACCAAAAAAAATCTAGGCTGAAAATCAAATCAAAACAAAACAAAAGATTATCTTTTCTCTCTCTCTTGTTCTCTTGTTCTGATTCTTGCACTCTCTCTTTCTCTCCTCTCTTCTCTCTTCTCTCTCTCCTCTCACTTGGTTTCCCCTAACACACATAAAATAAAAATATTTCTCTGTTTAGAAATCCATAAATTAATTAATTAATTAAAATACAAAAATAGTGCCACTATAAATACTCTTCAAAGTACACTTAATACTGTCAGCCATATTATACCAAACATCACAGTCATTCATAGTTATTTCAGTAGAGGAGCATTCAATATCGGACACAACTATTCACTCTGTAGTCTTCCTCTGTTCTCGCCTATTGTACACGACCCGGTACTCATATTCACACACACACACATAAACAACTTAGCTGTGGGGATCAATTCGGAACCATCATCGCGAATAATTACGATACGGAAAAGAAATATTGGCCACTTGTACACGTACCAGATTGAGACTCATTTTTTTTTGTTTTGTCTTCGCTTCCATGTTTCGTGTTCTTTCCTGTATGGACATCAACCCACCGACAATACCGCAATATCATATCGGAGAATTTTTTTTTTTCTTATTTTGCATTTTCTATTCTATAAACATCATCTCATTATATACACAACATTGCTAAGGACATACTTCATGTTCATTCCATTGTTGATTCTCATCTAATTGATAGATATACCTTCTATCTTTATCCAAATCACAATAATCAACGTATTCAACAAATAACCCAATGACAGCAAAATTTTTAATTCCGTAATCTTCATGTTTCCCATCAACACCTCTATGGATCGAACTGATTAGTTTTGCATTGGTTCCATTTAAATCTTCTTTAGGGGGTGGCTTTATGAATGATTTCTTTAAATGTTTCGATAAACTGTCCCATTGTCTCTGTATTTCGTCTTTCCATTGGTCACCTGATGGGGACACATATGATATTGTCAAATTATCAAAACTATTATTTCTAGGAATAAATGACTGGGCCAAGTCAGCCAATAATGGTTTATGTTCTTCATCGATTATTTGAGCTCTACCTCGTAATCTAAACTGTTTCTTCAAATGTCCGAAATAAAACACTGCTTCGAATTTATCATTCTGCAATAATTCGTTGTACTTTTGCATACGCTTGTCGGTTGTGAAAGTGATTACACTAGTTTCTATATTATCAAATAACCATCCTCGGTATACGACTGTTCTATTACTTGGATAACCTGTCTTGCTATCAATGGTTGCTAATTGGAACGTGGTAAACGGTGGGTTATTATCAGTCTTGGATAATTCATCTTTTATACATTGTTGTAACGCGTATTGCCACATCCTGGACACGAAGTATTAAAATGAAGGAGTAGAATTAATAAAAGAAGTAATGAACTTCAAAAACAGAAACTAAAAAAAAACAAAAAAAAGTCAAAAAAGAAAAAGAAAAAGGTGAAAAATAAATTTCGTAGGATATTTATTATATTTATTATATTTGAATAATTTTTTTTTGTTAGTTTTGTACTTATATGTGTGAATGAATCACTGAGTGAGTGAGTGGGTGAGTGGGTGAGAGATCACTTGATTGTACTCTTTATATTATATTACTCTAAACAAAATGTATGCGGAATTGGTTGTGTTCGCAATAAAAGAAAAATTTTCTTCCCTGCTGTAAATTGCTGTCTTTTTTTTTGTTTTGTTTCTGGTTGCGTATACGCAGAAGACTTATTTCCCGATACATTGATGCCCTGTTTTTTTTTTTTCTCCGAACAGGGTACTCATCTTTATACCACGATACTACCACCACCTCTCGCCCGCATCACCACATCACGATACCAACTCCCGTCGCAGTTTAAAGACCGAGACAACCAACCAACCAACTGTCACGTTACTGTACAGGAAATCGATTAATTTGGTTTTGGTTTTGCTTTTGCAGCCCACGTGTTTCATACTGACACATTCTTTTTGTTACTCTGTTCTCCACAACACAACACAATTCTCGACCAACATATCGCCTCCTTCGTTTAATTTACTCGTGTAACCTATTCCCCGTGTGTATGTGTACTGGTTTCATCTTAAACTGGTCAACAATACCCTTGACTTGTGATAAGAAGAGAAGGTCCTTATTATAAAATAATATCTTGTTATTTGAGCTTAATTTGTTTTGTTGTATTCGCCACTTGTTTAACTTTAACTCATCAATCATGCAAAGAAAGTTAACGCAGATTTTCTTCTGTAGATTACATTGTAGCTACTAGATCATTATTTGGGGTTAGAATATGATCGTACAACCACAAGACCATTATGGTCAAACCAAATTTGATTTTAAACCGTAGTGACTCAATTTTTAAAAAATACCAGAGATACAAACATACAGCTTGTCATTCTCCGAAGTATACAATACTGTATATATTCTTTAAACACGGCTAATTTTTATTATTATTATCGCGACCACATCAATTGGTTGTAATTTAAAGATCCTGATCACAACAGAAGACTTCTATAAATCGAGTCTAGTCAAAAAAGTAAGTTCAAGATTTACTTCCTGTATCTCTACAGTACAGATTATGATTTGAAATGCCACTGGAGGATACTGTATAAGGGATCTTGGGAGATAGGACATTCAAAAGTACCCCCTACCAATGAATACAAATGACAGGATTAGATATTGTTTATACTTGACAAGGTACCCTCTTAACAGTTGGCACACGATCGTTGAAACCTAACAATTTTAACGTTGGTTGCAAATCGCACGACCTACGGAAATATGGTCCTATCTACACTTCATCGCACATTAGTTTTCTCAAACCAAACCAAAAAAAAAAAGACATAAGCAAAAACTACCAATAGACTTATCCAGCTTCTACGGCTTAAACTCAAGTATAATTAAAATGACATCAATAAACAAGATAATTACAAAATATCCTATATATGATACTGTTCAAATCATATCAAATTCAGAATTATCGCATATAAAAACAACAACATCACAATTAAAAATCAATGATTTATATAATCTTTTAATTACTTCACAACCAAAACCTGAATATTTAATAGCAATTCCATTAGATTCAAATTCTAAATTTGGTGATGTATTGATATTTAATAATGGAATAATTACATTAGTATTAACTCAAGATTCATTTACTCGTATACCTAATTTAAAAAGTAAATATGGATCAAATAAAATCAAACAATCTAAAGATGAAAAAAATAGAATTAAACTTAAATTAAATCAATTTGAATCAATTCCTGAATTAAAATTTATTATTGATAAATTGTTTAATAATGTTGATATTAAAATATATTATAATGAATTAATAAATGAAAATATTGGGATTTTTTCAAATGAAAAAAATTTTACAAAATTACCAAATAATTTAAATCATCTTGATTTAGATAATGATGAATTTTATGAATTGATTACATTATGTTGTAATTTTGAAAATATTATTCATGATAATGATGCATTCACTTGTTTAAATATAGATGGTGAATTAGAAATTAAAACAAGATATACTTTGAAACACATTTCTTCACAAAAATTAAAAGATTTGGATTGGAATATACTAAGTTTACATAATGATAATCATCATATACTATTATATAAATCCAATCCTAATGATATCACTGTATTTGAAGTAGATAGAAAATAATATATATACATACATATATATTAAATAATAGAACATCACATCACATCATACAAAGCTTAATCTATATACATGAAATTTTCATTACTAATAATGAAAGCAATAAATAAATAAATACAATCCTAATTATCGGACATCTTTGAAAATTTCTTCAAGTGGAAAATTCTCAAATAAACTTCCCATATCAAATTGAAAATTCGGTGTAAACACACTGGCACTACTATCAGGCATAAAATTACCATTTCCAAGATTAGAATTTTGTTGCGATAAACTTGGCATTCCAGTGCCATTATCATTGTTGAAACTTGGTGTTGCATAATTTAAAACATTATTTGCATCTTGGTTCTTCATATTAATCATTTGTATCCACATGGAATCAATCTCATTATTCGTTTTATATTCTGTTGAATCAGCTTCAGAACCACTAGTCGATCCCGTAGATCCCATTCTAACTGTATTAAATGAAAGAGGTATTTGCAGTTTTTGTTTTTGTTGTTGCTGCTGCTGCTGCGGATATTGCAGTTGCTGGTGCTGGGTTTCTTGATTAAAATAGTCATCCCTCTTCTTATTGAATTTCATTTGTTTCTTTTGTTGTCTGCGTAATCTCTTGTTCTCTCTGACCCTTTCCAACGAACTCTCCAAAATATGTTCCAATTCCGCAATCATTTCAGAAGTATAACCTTCAATGGTACATCTTGGTGAATATCTTTCAAAAAAATCATCAGTTAATAGAGATGATATAAAGTCTTGTGCTTTGCAAATTCTCCATGCATAATAATACCTTTGACTCAATCTTCCCAATTTAGTTCTGAAAACATTACGACATTCTTCAATCAATTCAGCACATTTCAACAACTTTTCAAAATACATTTTATAGGATTCATCTTCTGCATTGACAGGGTTATTTACTCTTTGATTATGGTCATAACGAACCTTTAATGATCGAATTCTATGTTTGATTCGCAAATAAACAGCTCCCAACACAATCAACGACTTATGTGCAACTGATTCATAACCAGGAACAGCAATGAAATCTGCATTGGCCTTAAAAATACTAGCATCTTCATTGACACATTCACTAAAATATGGCATCACATCATAAATAATCGTGACGAAAATCTTTTTCAAATAGTAAAATGACAAATTAATATTCCTCTTGTTTTCATAATAATTATACAAATGAGCATATATTGAAACCATCAAGAAACTTCCCGTAAAATAAATCTTCATCTTCAAGGTCCGTGGCATTAAGTCACACAGTTTTGCCATTGCAGGGTTATCGGGACTTGGGATCTCAAAAATCTTCTCCTTAAAATGATTCTCCAACATTCCCAATCTCTTAGCCAAATCTACCATCTTAATTTCACCTTTGACCTGCAAGATCATATTAAGTAGTTCAGTTAATGGGGCATAACTGATTTCAAAATTAGGATAACAACCACAAGCAGTTTTTTCCATTTCAATGTCAATTACATTTTCATTACCTGGACGATAAAATGGAATCTTTGTATCAAATGAATTAGGGGAAACACACAACATGGTTCCATTACTCATAGCACCATTGAGATCTTGAATAACAACCATATACCAAATCTTACGACACAAATTGTTAATTTTCTCATCTTTAAATGCTTCAGGATACAAATCTGGTTCTCTGTGTAATCCCAATGAATAGGCCATTTGTACCAACATCCCGTTGAATATTTGAGAATCTCCTCCATCTATACCATCACCATCTTCAGGAGCAAACTGATGATATAACCTAGTCAACAATGCCAATTGCATCAAAGTTAAATTACAGTTTCTCATGAGATTAAACTGGTCCAAACATTCCTGGGCAACATTAATAACATCAATATTGATCACATTATTCAACAAGTATTTCGTTTCTTGAGCTCTTGGTGATGGGTCTTCAGTCTCAAAATTTACTTCGTTAACTGCCAAATCATATGAAAACAAGGAAATATAACTCAATCTAAGTATGATCAACAATATTCCCAAGTAAGCAAAATCTAACTTTTTCTCAACTTTGACATCCACTCGTGTTTCAGTGTAGTCTTCATAACCAATCAATTTCTGTAAATCCTCTTTCAAAATAACCTCATCAACAATTGGAAACGCAGGATACAATTCAGTAAAAAATCTCTTATACAAAGACCAAATGATCTTCTGATTTGGCAACACCAATCTGATTTTTTCAACCAATTCCAATTCATGATCAAGTCCTCCTTCGTAAAATGCCAACCCTAAACAAAGTGCCTTTTTATGCAATGTGGCAGTCGCTTTTGGCTCACCGTTGGTCATACTCTTGCCATTCTCCTGATCACCACCACCACCACCACCACCACCAACAGCAGCAGTAATAGTAGTAGATGAATCTCCATTCAATATTGGACTGGTGCTTGCTGTAGTTGAAGTAGGTGTAATGGAATCCTTCTGAACAGTGTCCCTATATGGCTTCAAATTGTTTTCACCTTCATCATCACGAGCCTTTTCTTTAAAATACTTCTCCATCTGAGGTGCCTTATCACCAACTCGTAACATTTCTGCCTTTAGCTTTTCCTTAACAATATTCACACTGGGCCAAAGGTTTACTAATCCATTATCTATTTTAGTCAAACAAATCCAACTCAATGGTCCATAATTCCTCTTCTGGATTGGCTCTCTATCAGTCGTACCATTATACCCGGCATAAAAATTGATCGTTTCAGATTCTGATTCAACAGGATTAAATCCAAGCAAAGCACTGGGATCGATTGATGTGTTTGTAAGAGAACCGGGAGGACTGAATTCAGCTTTGGATGCAAAACTTCCTGGACTATGATTGCTATTAGGTGTAACCACCGCTCTACTGGCAACAATATTACTCTTCTGTTCCTGTTCATGTTTCTGTTGTAAAGAATACTCCAAAGTTTGTAATTTTTCTTTTAAAAATGCCAACTCTGATTGTACTGTTGATGGTTGTGTATTCATCGAAGTAGAAGGGAGCAATACACTTGGTTCATTACCGTTCCGTTGAATATCACTGCTTGGGTTTTCAAGAATAGCAGAACAGCTTGTATTTTGAATTACATCTGATATCTGTAGTGATGTTGATGATGATGATGAACTATTTTGATTAGGAGTAAACATAGACGATGAAGTGTGAGTGGTCGCTAATCCATTGAAGGTATCAATTTGACCAAACTGAGAATTATCAACTGGAGATGGTTTCTCTCGTTTGATTTTCTTGCCATTGCTATGATCTTCAGCTGAATAAACACAAGGAAATTTCTTATATCGGACACAAGCAGAACAAGGATTGCCTAAGTCACACTTGACTTTTCTCTTTTTACAAAAATCACAAACCTTAGATGCACGTTGTCTCTTCTGAGTCATGACTTAAAAATCACTGCGTGATAGCAACAACCGATAATAATAATAATAATGAAAAAAAAAATAAATAACTAGCTGAAAGAATCGTTATCTAATAAGTAAGTGAAGAATGAAATGGTTGTAAGATTTGATCCTTTTGCTTCTGGGGGGAATCTGTTTTTTTTTTTATTTTGTTTCTTTCTTCTACTTTTTTAGGAGATCACGTTTTTTTTTCTTATATTTTTCTTTCTGTGACTTCTTTTAAAGTAGTTGCAAGAATAAATGATTTATACTTCTGAATAGTAATATCAATATCAATTCATTCAATTGATGTAGGTAAGTGTATATGTATAGAAGTATGGAAAATATAAAAACTACGGGACACCAAAAGAGAAAAAAAAATTTTAAACTAAATTTCGTTCTGGAAAAAATTCAGCCTGATGGCGAACTTCTGTCATTTTTATATCTCAATGTTTTATTTTTCTTTTGTATTGCTTCTCATAGCCATTACAATATAAGCAGATATACAATTACACTGTACAGAAGTCAAGAGAGTCAAACAATGGGCATGGAATGAAGTGTGCCAAAAACAAAGAACATAGGGGGGAAACAAACGGGTTGTCGGTGTTTTGTTTTAATCCGACATGTTCCCGATATTCTATTCTATTTTTGAAATACTCATGATTCATTTCACAAAATAGTCTTGTATTTGTAATTGCAATTTTAACCTTACGAGAGAGAGAGAGAGAGAAAGTCTGATGGAATCCTATGGATCGGAAGAACTACTTTATTTGAACAAAAGTGAAACAAGAACGCAAATACCATGCCGTACTTAATTTCTTTGAATGCACAAAAATAGATTTTACACTGCTCAAGGTTTTGTTTGATACACGACTATTTCACCGCGATCAGTCAAACCAGCCTTCAAGATCATACACCATATCTTACCATGTCTACCCCCTCTTTATTCATTTTTCAAGTCAATTGCAACTACTACTTTAAACAAAAATGGCGCAGCATTGAGCAATATCTTTTGTTTTCAGCTTGATTAGGCTGTACAGTTATTTGTAATTGATTGAAAGCGTTCTGGATTCACGGAGATTTTTTGGTGTTTATCGCCGTGAGTCATTCCAAAAATCAAAACAAAGAACAATAACCACTATCAACACAATATTACTTGACAAAACACGAACTATTAGTCATTAGGTTTGTTCTACAAAAACAGTCTTGTTCAATTCGTACTGAGATACATTTAACTTATCCTAACCGTGGTCTTTTTTTTTTCTTGATAGTTCTTGGGTCTTTTACATTAGTAATTATCTCTGTACTTTTCTTTTTCCTACCGTTTTATTGTTCCTGGTTATCTACCCCATGAAAAGTTTAAAAAGAAAAAAAATACATCGAAAATGCCGTTCTGATGTGAACAAGTCACACCCACATTTTGAGGGAGGGGGGTCCTTGAATAGTCAATTTACTCTAATCTATAATTACCACTTGGAGCCCTTTGACAAACGGAGTTTATGGGATCTATTCGCGTGTGAAAATTATGATAACAAACAAGGTTTTCTTTCGGTGGTATACCTCCCCTTCCTGGACTTTCCGAGATAATCAATTACACACTTTAGAGTACTTTAAAGAAGCATACTCTTCTCGGTTTCTTTTTCTTTTTCTTTTTCTTTTTTTTTGGGCACAGGGAAGGTCATGTCTTTTGAATGGAAACAAGAGAATCAAAGTCTAAATTCTCTATTAATTATTACACAATTTGCAGTTGCACCAATCCCCCCAAAAAATATCTTTTGACCCTCATTCTCACATTCCCAAGTAGCATTCTCTAACTACTCCCCCCCCACAATCATTGCTTCCATCAACTTTGACCGTATGTCGGAGTTTCCCAATTGAGAATCATCAGGAATAAAATAACTCAGAAGAATAGTTGAGGATATCTATTGACCGTTGGAAAATACTCGTTTAAGAATTAATTCACATAGCGATCTATGCGACAGGTACTTTACTTGTGCGTTAACTATCGAGGCTGTAGTGGTTAAGAGAAATTCGATTTTGCTCTTAATTGTGCTTAAGTAAGCGGATAACGGTTGTATCGATTTTGTACTGCACAAACTTGCCCGATTATGTAAGCGGTATACGGCCAATTTGACACAATGTACACGACGGTATTATCTTGTGTGTCTAATCTGAGAAATCACTCAATCACAACGCACACAAAAAAAAAAAAAATTAAGGAGGTTTGTTTCCACCCGTCAACATAAATCTTGATCAAACAATTACAACAATTCTAAGAATTACGAAGTAATAAAGACTACAAGGAAAAAAGAAAGATACAAAAAAAAAAATAACGACAGAATTTCACAGTGTCGCCTCAGTTACAAATACTTTTCATGATATCAAAGGAATACAAATTGCAATTAATTGCTAAATCATTGAATGAATTGGGGTATTCGGATATATCCAACCAATTAATTGCCTCCACAAATACCGATCAAAACCAACCAAAATTAGTTCAATGGTTTTATGAATGTTTAAGAAATAAACAATATACTATTTTGGAAAACTACATAACCGAGCTAATTGATGGTAAACAAAATGCAGATGAATTTGTTCATTTGTTGAATATATCTCCTGTTGGTGATTCAACATCATTGTTGAATCTAGTTCTATATTTGATAAGACGAATCAACTATCTCGAGATTATCCATACATCCAAGAATAATTCAGTTGATGAGAGATTGAACTACATATCGGGCAAAATGATGCCATTGTTGGATAATATTGACAATATCTCCCAATTTGACTCGATTTTTGATATCAAAATGTTGCATAAATTGACAAGCGAACAGGAAACAACTTTATTGTTGAATGACTCAATTCCTTTTAAGAAATACCTTTTAGATGATGGTCTTGAAGATTTGCAGTCTTTTGTTGATGTATTATTTGATAAGTTATTTAGAAATGAACCATTTGAGGACATTCCGGATTTGACAACCATCTTGCTGCAAGCTTCCAAATACCAACAATTGCAATCACCATATTACTTACCACCAAGAACCAAGCAAGAAAGACGAAAATTACCTCCAGAAAGTCTTATTCCTCCTCCAAGTAAAAAATACCAGAAAAATTTTCATCCTGGAAAATTATTGCACACATTGACATATCATAAAGATGAAGTTTGGTTTATTAAGTTCTCACCATCTGGTAGATTCATGGTTAGTGGATCATCAGATGGTAGATTGGTATTATATGATGTGGTTAATAATTTCCAATTGATCAAAATTTTAGAACCAACTTTAGCAGCCGACAATGCTGCTTTTGTTGCCTTTTCTTCCAAACCTCCTTCTTCAACAAGTAGGAACAAAGCAGTTATTTATTGCTGCTGGGATCCTAATGAAAATTATCTTGTCAGTTGCTGCTTGGATACAGTAGTTAGGGTTTGGTCTATAGGTGAAATCCACAAAAAGAGAAATACCCGCAGCAATAGCAGCCTTGCTGACGCTACAATTGGAGAATTCAAATTGATTAGTTGTTTTACATTGGCGCCAGATATAAAAACTTGGACATGTGAATTTTTACCTGAGAATAAGAAAATTGTTAGTGATACCATCAACTCGGATACTCCTCAATTTATTGTTGGTTCACCAGATAAAGTACTTAAATTATTTGATTGCAATGGAGTTGAATTGTTTGATTTCTATGGTAACATCGAAGAGGACGACGACGATGATGACGATGGTGATGATGATGATGATGATGATGATGAGGAAGAGGGAAAAAAACGTCGCCATAAGAATCAAGGTAGTGCCGAGGATAGTCATGGTCCATTTGCAGAGAATATTAAGAGAGACGATGTATCTATGAAAGATCCTGAAGACATCCCAAATGCAACTGATAAACTGAAACCTACCAGCTCCACTAATAACTCTCTGATTAACAACAAAAATCTTGAAAGTAATTTCAATAGAATAAATGATTTGGCTATTACAAAAGATGGGAAAATGTTAGTTACTTTGAATGACCATCAAATTCATTTTTATACAATTCCAGATGTGCTCAATGATGAAGCCACCACAAGAAGGATTTCAAATATTGAATTTAAAGGAAGGTTAACATCATGTTCAATTTCAAATAATGGGAAATACTTATTGATTAATAGTGCTCCAGAAGAATTACAAGTTTGGGACATATCTCCATTGAAAAGTTTAGATGAGCCTATATTATATAGAAGATTTTTTGGACATTCCCAAAGTTCATACATTGTTAGATCTACTTTTGGATATCTTAATGAGAACATGACTGGTTATGGCAAAGAAAAAGAAGATGATGACGACGACGATGACGAAGAAGACGAAGAATATCCTACTTCGGGCTGTGAAGAAGAATTGATTTTGACAGGAAGTGACGAAGGATATATCTATTTTTGGAAATTACATACTGGTCAATTTATCACAAGAATTAAAGGTCATGTTGGTTTATGTAATGGAGTTGATTGGAATAGAAAAGGTTCTGTGGTTAAAGGCAAAGATTTGGGTAAAATCTGGGGTAGTGTTGGTGATGATAAATTGGTTAAGATTTGGACAGCTTAAAATTCAATAGTATCTCTCATAGTTGTAATCTACTTAATTCATAAACAAGTTTATTTTGATCGGTTTTATATATGTGTATATTTTTTGTTTCACCCGGAAGACATCTACATAGTAAGAACATTAATTTGAAACTTCAAAAGAGACAAAATCAACTGCAAATCTTACAATTCATCGTGTTCAACATCTTCTTCTTCTTCTTCTTCAACTTCTTTGGCTTCTTCTCCATCAGCAGCTTCTTTGGCTTCTTCTAATTTAGCCTTTAATTCAACACCGTCAACACCCAAAGCGCCTTTTTCTTTGATGAAAGAAATCAAACTATCCAATTCTCTGGCACCTTCGAAAACAATTGGTTCTCTCAAACCAGTCTTTTCATCAATTTTACCGTTGGCTGGGAACATCAACAAGGTTGGATAACCTTCGATATTGTATGGAACATCAACATCATTGTTGGTGTGATCAATATCAGCAACAATAACATTAGCATCTTCCTTGTTAGAACCGAAAATTTCAGCTAATTCTTCCCAGGTTGGGGCCAATTTTTTACAGTGGCCACACCATGGAGCATAGTATTTAACGAAAACATCCTTATCAGTTTGATCCATAATTTCTTTATAGTTGTGAGCAACCAATTTAACAACTGGGTTGGTCTTCTTTTCTTCTTCAGTTGGCAATGGTTCAGATTTAATGATTGGGCTCAATTTTCCTTCAAAATAGTCATCGACAAACTTTTCAATGACATCAGTGGATGGACCTTCTGGGTAATCGGTTTGGTTAACACCGTATTTCTTGTTGTCACCAATGTGGTGGATAGCAAACAATGGAACAATTTCTGGGTCCATGTTGATGACTTCAGCATGTCTACCAAACATACTAGCATCTAAACCAACAATGTTCAATTTACCTCTGTATTTCTTACCCAATTTAGTCAAAGAATCTTCAACTTCAGCTCTTTGATCAGCTGTGTTGTAGAAGTAGTAGGCAATTGGTAATGGAGAAGACATATAGGTCATGTAAGTTTGTTGGTTAATTTCACCAAAGTATGGAACAGCTTCAACACCAATAAATTCAATCAATGAATCAGCATCCAAGGTATTTTTGTTATCAAATTTGGCGGCATCATCGAATTGGTTTGGTTGGACAACCAAGTAACTTGGTTTCTTACCAGTGATATCAACAGTCTTGAATTTCTTGCTCAAATCCTTGATGATACTCTTGTCTTCAACAGAAACAAAAAGATAATCTTTTCTCTTTTGGTTAGCAACTTTGTAGAAAGTAGTGTTACCTTCAGCAGTTGGGTTGATTTGTAAAACAAATGGTTTGGTTTGTTCTTCAATCAAGGCAATTAAATCTTCAGATGATTCTGGAGTAGAAACCGGTGGCAAGGATTGTTTAATCATGTAATCAACAATACCATCAGCTTCTCTTGGACCTTGGTAATCTTCAGCAGCCTTGTTGTCACCATCTCTGATGATCTTCAAGGTTGGGTAACCTCTGATACCATGTTCCATACATAATGCTTCATCTTCAGTACAATCAATTTGGGCCAATTTGATCTTTGGATGGGATTCATTCAAACTATCAGCAGCTTTGGAAAATTCTGGTCCCAACATTTTACAGTATCCACACCATGGGGCAAAGAATTCGGTTAAAACCAATGGATTTTCTTCAATGAATGCAGCAAAGTTTTCTGAAGTCAATTTGACAACAGCACTGTTTGGATCAGCAACGGCGTCACCATCAGCTGGACCTCCAGCATTGGTTAAAGAAACAATGGCTAACAAAGTAGCTAAAGCATTGGTAGAATATTTCCAGAATTTCATATTAATTGAAGTTGTTGTTGCAAAGAAAATGTAGAAGTGAAATAAAAAAAAAAAAAGGTAGTGGTGGTAATTAATAATAAAAATTGATTTTCTTTAAATATTTGGTTCTTCTTTTTTTTTTTTTTTTTTTTTTTCGCTCGTTGGCGAATTATTAATTAAATTTTCATACGTGCCCATACATTTTCTTTCAAGACACGCTGTTATAAAATAAAAGGTCAAAAAGAAAAAAGTGGTTACACTAAACAATATTCACACAAGTACACGACAACAGGTTTTGCGACAGCGGAAGAGAAGAGAGGGGGGCTGATTATCGCCATCACGAAAGTACTATACCAAGGTTTTTTTATCGCTGGCTAGTGATGTGTGTCTACTATTACAAAAGGTAACTTGATCTTAAGGTATATCATCTATTGTTAATTATTCAATTGTCCACAGAACCAAATCAAGCAAACAACAACCACCCCCAAAAAAAATTAGACCAAAACCAAAAAAAAGCATCAAGAGTAAAGAAACCTTCGTACAAGGAAACCATCTAAAATTGAATAGCTTTCATCGTCAGTATTAAGTTTCTAACTCCTTGACAAGAGTACCAGCTCTCAGATTCCTAAGAATTCTCTCCAATTTGACCAGGTATCCATCTCCACATCATAAATATATGCCATACTATGACGCAACGAACTTTGCAAGTATTGTGGTTGGTAATCATAAATAAACATAACTAGACCCCAGGTCAATATAGCAAAATATTTCCACAGCTTATTATAAAACATATTCTTTAACTTTTTCTGTTGTTGATTATTCAAATCTTTGAATTTTATGGTGTCTCCTTGATAATTTCTGAAACTTGGTTGGAAGCAGTGTAAATAATTATCTAAAAATATCTTTCCTAATGCCAATACAACTCTACTGAAACAATACAATGTGATCTGATGAGTGATTCCACTATGGAAAATGTTGAAATGTTGACTATAAACAATCCATGATCCAAAACATCCACTTAAAAACTTGATCAACCCCATATTTTTCTCACCTAAGAAATTATCCTGTTTTAACATCATGACACAAGCTTTATATATTATTGCAAATGATGCCAATACTTCAGCATGATTTTTAGTAGCTTCTAATACCGATTTTAATCTTGGTAATATAGGTCCGGAACGGTACAATAGATTTATAACCAATGCATGCAGGAAACGTAATTTACCACCATAGACAATACCATTTCTAGCCGATTTAATAATTTCAAATAATGGACGATATAAAGGATTGGTTAAAATTGACATTGTATGGTTGAAATTGTATAGAGAAATGGGAAGTGTTGACTTGTGTGGAGAAAGTTAAGAGTTCCACAGAATTTTCGTTGCCGATTGAGTTTTTTTTTCTCTCTCTCTTGTCTCCCTCACAGATTGATCAATTGATTGAAGGTTTTTTTAACAGTGTTTTTGTATTCCCCATCTATGTATAGCTGATAAAATATTGTCTGTTGAATACTTGTCTTGTGGTTTACAAAGAGGGACTTATAATGTATGTATTTTTCGTTATAAATCAGATCAATAGTCAGACATGGAAAAAGATGATTGTTCTGAAAAAGATTTACTACCCACGTGATTCTCAAGAACGGAGATTCTTTTTTTTTTCTCCTTCAATGAACCCTCGGAATAGCATTATGATGAGGACTTTCCAAATATGGCAGTGGTTGTAAAAAGTCAAATTAAAACCAAAAAACAAACTGGTTGTAAAAAAAAAAACAATCAGACAGATCTATTGGTTTCTTTCTCGTTGTTGAACTTTCATTTGATTAGGTTCAATCTAACCCATTCGGTCATTTGTTTTAGTTAGTAATTTTGAAGAAAAAGGGTAATAATTATATGTCCAAATCAACTTGTACAACCCATAAACTCCGATCACATGTGGGGATGTGACATTTTGAAGGATCCAGTGCATCATTACCAAAGAAAAAGAGTGGCCTATATTTGAATCAAACCAATCACTGGGGTTAACAAAGAAATATTGCCGTCAAATTAGAATTCATGTCTTTACAAGCTTTTGTGTACTTGTACGGTTACCCATCAATTTTGAATGAAAGAATCAATTGAAAGTGTGGGTTGTATGCAGTCCCAGGTAATTTTTCACGAAAGAAAAAAAAGGGAATCCATTGAAACAAAACAGTGAGACAGACAGAAAGAGAGTGAAAAAAAAAAAAAAATTTTTTTTTCTACATATAAAAATCTTAGTGGTTTTTTGGTTCAAACACTGTACTACCACATTTGTAGGGTGAAAAAATAAAAAAATAAAAATTTTTCTTCAGAAGAAAATCTTCGTACCAATTGAACTACAGGAAGAAAGAAAGAAAGAAAGAAAGAAAAAAAAAAAATTTTTTTTTTACATCTTTTCACTTACTAAAATACTTGAAGGTTTTTCTTTTTCCCCCAATTCGTTAATCCTTTTTTTTAGCATTACTCATCAAGTATGACTTCACCTATTTCATATGCTAACGTAGCTGCTAATGCATCTTCAGCTAATACAGCACCTGCTACTGCTGCCACTGCCACTGCCACTGCCACTGCCACCACTTCTTCGGATTCAGTCAAACCAAAATCAGAAGAACAACAACCAGAACAACAAACCCCAACTTCATCTACCACCACCGAATCTCTTGGTAAAGAATCTGAAGATCAAAGTTCCAAATCCACAGACTCCACGGCTACTTCCACACCGGCATCAAAAACCAAGAAAACTTTGGCCCCAGCTCCTGTACCTACAAAATCTGCTTGGGGTGAAGTTACTTCAGGAGTTTCCCAATTAAGTGTTGATGATAAAAAATGGGCATCTCCAGAAAAGACTCCATTGTTGGGTGAACAACCAGCTGTTAAACCACAGCAACAAAAATTCATGAAACCAATCACTAATAAATGGGTTCCAGTTCAAGCCAAAGTGATATTGCCAAGTTTAAGATCCAGTAGTAACGGTAACTCCAGTAATTCTAAGCTGAATAGAAATAGAAAGAAGAGTGGGCACAACCAAAACAAATCATCTCCAAAAAAGAGAGAAGAAAAAGTTGAAGGTAAGGAAGCTAAATCAGCACCAGCTGGTGAAGAAGTTTCTAGTGGAGAAAAGACTGATGCTGTTGAAAAGAAACAAACCCAACCAAAAGAAACTACTGAAGAACAAACTTCCGATGTGTCATCATCATCTGCTTCTACTCAACAACAAGAACATCAAGAGCAACCAAGTCAGCAACAACCAAATCAACAACAACATCAACATCAACCACGATTTAACAATGGTCAACAAAAGAAACGTTTCAACAATCAACATCAACAAAATGGCAATGTCAACGGTCAATACCAAAAGAGATACAACAACCATAATAGCAACAATGCCAATGCTAACCCACAACAACCAATGCAACCACAACCATTCACTCCTCAAGGTTACTTCAACCCACAGCAACAACAACAATACCCAAACACTTACCAATACAACAATGGAAACCGTCCATATAGAAACGGTCAATACAGAAACAACCGAAATAACAATAACCAAGCATACCGTAATGGAGGTTATCGTCATAACAACAACCATCACAATAATCATGCAGCTAATGGTGCTGGAATTATTCCAGGTCCAATTCAATTTATTCCTTATCCTCAACAAATGCCAATTCCAATTCCACCACCAATTTCACCAAAACAAGATCCTCAAGAAGCATTAATTCAACAAATTGATTATTACTTTTCTTTAGAAAATTTAATTAAAGATTTGTATTTGAGAAAGAATATGGATGCTGAAGGCTGGGTTGATTTGAAATTAATCATGGATTTCAAGAGAGTTAAGATTATTGTTAATGGATTAATTAATTCTTTAGATGAAGGAGTTGTTGGAGATGATGTTATTTTGGAAAGTATTAAATCTTGTAAAAATTTGGAAATTAGTGGTGAAAAATTAGAAGATGTTAAATTAAGAGTTAAAGATAATTATCAACAATGGTTATTGAATTAAAAAAAATGATATATCAAGTTAACGAACCATTATTACAGATTAATAAATGTATATTAAAAACAAAGATTTTGAAGAAACAATCTGGATATATATAAAAAGGAAAAAAAAAAAATCATATTTCAATTAAAAAAAAAAATTCATAAAAACAAAAAAAAAAAAATGTTATATTTAATACTAATATGAGGGAATTAACTTTATTAAATATAAATTCCCTTTGAAAATAAATAATTCAGTAAATATTTAAAAAAATTAAAAAAAAAAAAATTCCAATAGTTTTTTTACAATTATTCATTTAATTGGATATATAAAACAAACAACCCCCAAATAATGAAAAACAAAGAGAAAGTTCTGATAAATATATGTGAAGTTTTTTTTTTTTTTTTAGCTTGTTATTGTTAATTACTAATAATGATAAAATGATCTATATTATATATATATTATATATATATAAACAAATTGGATATCACTGTGTATACGTTTTTTTAAAGAAAATATTATTGTTATTATCATTTACTTATAGTTGGCAATGATGAATATATGTATATAATAATTATTTGCAACCTTTCAACAATTTTTTTCTTCTCTTTTTTTTTACATCCAAATTTTCACCAAAATTAATCAAAAAACTGAAATATTCTTCGTCTTTTCTGATTTCCCCAAATAGTATCACTTAATAATATGGGTATAAACTACATGTCATAATTAAATCATCAAAATAAATGCTATATATAAATAAATTATAAAAACAACCTACATAAAAAAAACAAATTAAAACAATAAATAAAAAAATAAAATTTAAAACCAAATTAAAATGCCATATGATTAACAACTCTCTCTCTCTCTCTCTCTCTCTCTCTTTCTTTCTTTAAGTTTCAAATAAAATGTAATTAAACAAATTCAAAGCTACCAGCACTTCTTCTTGAAACTCCATTAATATCCCACATTAACATTCCTGAATCTTGACATCCAATAAGAATCTTTGAATTCATTTCATTACTCATGAATTCAATACCCAGTAATTCCATTTCTCCATTAAAATGATTAGTCGATTGTTGATACAGATCATCACAATATGTAGAATACATGTAAGATGAACTAGCTGTAATACTAGTAGCTTGTTCAGGTGGTGACTGTGGATGTTGATTATGACGAAACTCATTTCCACCATATTCCATATAGATGTCATTCAATTGACTATCAAAATCAAATGATGGTCTAGCAGATGATCTCGGAGAAACTTCCTGTTGTTGTTCTTGTTCTGTAAAATTTGAAGAGCCAGAATTATTGTCATGCCATTGAGGAGTATTTAATGTTGGACGGGAACGAGTTAGCTGTTGTTGCAATTGTCTTTTTTTAGGAAGGATAATTGGTGGTAAATAATTAAAATCTTTAAATAATTTAGGTTGAATATTTGCTAAATAGTCATAATCATAAACTAATGGTGCAGTGAAGGATAACTCATTGTCAACATCATATTCTTCTTCTTCTTCTTCTTCTTCTTCTGCTTCTTCACCATCATGCATTATAGAATCAACGTTGTTGCTATTTGTATTGTAAATATTAATAGGTTTTCCCAGTTGTTGTTGATCTTCATAAACATTCTTTTTAAATTCGGCAAATTTGGTTAATGCAGAAGGAATGACAACAACCTGATGATCATCAACATTATCATAATTCAAATTTCTTAAATCAATCAAATGAACCCTACCAACATGTTCAGAAATAATCAATAAATCATTCAAATCGTTTTCTGGGGAGAATTTGACTACTCTGAATGCCCCTGATTGATGTCCTGGTCTAGTTGATTTAATTTCAATTAATTTTTGTGATAAATTTCTAATATCATAGATTTGACAAATTCCATCTTGGAAAACCGTGGAAAATAATAAACCATTTGCATGATAATCAACACCAAATCCACCAGAATCATGTCCAGAATTTATAGTTTTAATGATAGAATTTTTTGAACTTGGATCAATTAAGAAAATCAGACTAGAATCACCAGTGGCGGCTAATATTTTATCAGATTTAGGATTTTTAATAACATTGTTTAAACAAGTATTTGATTCACAATTAATTTTGTTAAAACACCTCAAATCAGAATTATTGATATCAACACAATACAAAAAGGTATCGTTGTTACAAATATAGGATTGGAATGAATTATTAGTTGACTTATATAATGTAACATCGTTATTAATCATTTCTCCAAGTTTCACGGTAGTTAGTTTATCTAATTCTGGGTTATAAAATGAAAATAACCCCTTGGAAATTCTTCTACTAGTAGAAGCAAAAGAAGAAGATGATGATGATGATGAATCCAGACAATTATCATATGTTAAATTGGATAAATTCAAGGAAAATAATTTGGACGCAGTTGTTAATAAACCGCCAGTAACAGTATAATTTTGAGAATGATCAAAACATCGAGGGTAATAATTTAACTTGATATATTTATCAATAGAATAATCATCAACTTGATATTTATAGATTGAATCGTCTTTAGTGTAGTATACTTGATTTGATACTGCATTAAATTTAACTAAATCACGAAGTTGCCAATGATTAACTGATGGTTTGATATTTGAGTTGAAAGTACAGTTTGGTTTTAAATATTGATAACAATGATAATAGTTTTGAAAACACTTATTATATTGATGATATACTGTATTGAAATGTTGGGCGGAAATTTTACTTTTCCTTCTTTTATTGAATGGTGTCATGGTATATATGCTAGTTCTTTGATTCCTATTGTGAAGATTATTCTTCCTATCATTGCTATTTTCATTTGTATCTTTGTTATCGTCGGCTGAACTGAGATCAGAAGGATCTTCATCATTACTATTTGATTTAGAAACGGAGGGATTAGATAAGGTGGAACTATTTTTGGATGTATCATGATCGTTTGCTGCTGTTGTAGATGAAGATGAAGATGAAGATGGTGACGATGATGTCGTGATGGTATTAGTGTTAGTAGTAGATAATAAGTTGTTGGTGATAGTAGTAATACTATTGCCTGGTTTGGTTAGATCAATAGTCATTGTTTATGATGATGCAAATGTCTGCTTGGTTGAATAAGGATTATTGAACATGAACATGAAAATGAAAATGAAATCAGGGAGTGGGTGACAGAAAAAAAATAAAATAAAATAAAATAATCAAACAGAAGAAATTTAAAGTGGAGAGAACAAAAATTTACACAATACAAATAATTATATATAATCTTCAACATACGTTTTTTTTATTTTTTTCTTTTCCTATTTCACTAATTCGATGGATGCAATGATACAGGATTTCCCTTGCTTTGGCTGGCTATAAATAAATACAATCATTGAGAATAAAATTAGCAAAACAAAGGAAAAAAGGGACACACAGAGCTAGAGCTAGGGCGAGAGCGAGGGTGAAAGGGAACTGGGTGTCGGTATGGTTGGCTGGATTTAGTACCAGTACACGCCTTGATATCAACGGACGATTTTCCGCGACTCATGACTGTGATCAAGTAATGACAATTTTGTGTTACTCGCTATCTATCTCCCCCACACACCACACACACATACACACATACCCACCCTATAAAATAGATATCACATAGCAATTCTACCCGTGAATCGAGTGAATAACATTGCCTCTTACAAGTATGAATGTACTTCTCTTATTTAAACAAAATTGCTAAGAAGTAAAAAAAAATTTTTTTACTGTATATGGAGTTTGTGTAGAGTTTATTATTATAGTGTGATGTCAAAGTGTACATTACGTAATCATCTTATACAAATTGGTTTTTCTCCTTGTTGTTGTTGTTGTTGTGAAACGCATGATCCATGAGATCATTATCATTTGTTTATATGCAGGATTTTCAGCAAATTTACAGTAATTGCCGAGAAATGGGAAACCAACCAGTTTAGAAGAAAGTGAAAGGAAACACCCAAACAAAGTTTTAACTGTAAAAGATGTTAATTTTCAATTTTCTATATAATTTTGTTGTATTTTACTTAATTACTAATGATATTTACATTTCATTCACTTTACAAATAGTCTCCACAATCAACTGAGATTTATAGATGTTTGCCTCCTTCTGAAAAACAGCAAATTTCACTACAACTACAACAACAATATTGTTGTTTCCGATGTACACGACCTTCTGTCATATTCTATCCTTGAAGGCAATCTATTTTTTTTTTTTTGTGGTGTGGTGTGGAGGGGGTTAGTAGAACTATTGTTACGGAGTCGTTTCCTGTGCTACCAATGCGAGGGCCAGAATTAGGCACTGACATGAAGAGTTTACCATTTTTACATTTCCTAATTAATGACTATGTAATGACTCTTTATCTACTGAACGAATCACACCAATAAAAATAGACTTGCTTCAGTATTCACCCCTTTCTCCTCCACTTTCTGTTAATTGCGCATAACTAAGTGTTATCATGTGAAACACCATCACGTGTGTACGATTTACAATTATCACTTAAAATAAAAAGAAAAAAAAAATTCTACTACAATTGTTCAATAATATTAATAGAAAACAAGATTATATATATATATATATATATATATACAAATATAGAAATTAAACTATCAAGTTTATTTTAACAGTAAAAATAAAAAACACTTGACAATTCACCGAAAAGTAAATAACATAAAAGTAATTAACCACAAGAAAAATATCAATAACAATAGGTCTGGTTTAAATTTAAGCAAAAGAAACCAAAATGGATACAATTACAATACCAACAACAGATAATCCTGCAGCTGATTTAGCTGCACTGTTTTCATTAGCTGTAATAACTGCTGGGATGTCAGTAGTTGTAGCAGCTTGATCTGATGAACTAGAAGCAGAAACTAAACTGGATATATCTGTATCAATTACAATACCAGTTTGTTCATTCAATGTAGAAGAAATGCCTGAGTTAACCAATGTAGCAGTACTTTCAGAACAAACATTATTACTACATTGAGTAATAACTGAAGTAACAGTCTTCTTAACCACGGTTGTTTCAACATCAGTAGAAGTAGCATGAGCAACATGAGAATCTGTAGAAACAGTGTTTTCAATCCATTCACTCAGAGTGATATGTGCTTCACCAGATGAATCAGCATGAGTAAGTGTATTAACAGATTCGCAAGCATTAATTAAAGTAGAAGCTGATTCATCGGTGATAATTTCACAAACAATAGCACCAGACTCACCAATGGAAGTTAAAGTCATAGCAGCATCTCCAACTGAACCATTGGAAATGGTAATATCAAGAGATGTACCTTCTGAATCTGCAATAGATTTAATAAATTCCTCAACAGAATCAAATCCGACTTCAGTATCTCTTCTAAGCTTTCTGGTTGATGATTTTTGCAAATGAACAACATACAACACAATACCTTGATTAACCAATAGTTTAGCTGGAACAGAAATAACTCTACCTCCATTTTGAATGTCTGTAGTATACTTGACCCCATTAACCTTGGCATAGTAATACTTAATATCATAATTACTAGAAGAAACATAACGGAAATAAGCATCGTAAGCATCGGGAAGAGTAAACTCACAAATTCCAGTTTCATAATCCACAATAGAAACAACTTTACCATTCATATAGCATGAAACCATTTGACGAGCAGATGTTGAACTATAAACTGATGATGATACTTCAATACTTGATGAACTAGTAACTTCAGAACTATAACCCATCGTAATAGAAGATGATTCACCAATACTAGATTCAGTGGGAACAACAGAACTGGACTCAGCTGGGACAACAGAACTGGATTCAACTGGGGCAGCAGGACTGGATTCAACTGGGATAGAAGATGATTCGCCAATACTAGATTCAGCTGGGACAACAGAACTGGATTCAGTTGGAACAACAGAACTGGACTCAGCTGGCATAGAAGATGATTCACCAATACTAGATTCAGTTGGAACAACAGAACTGGACTCAGCTGGGACAACAGAACTGGATTCAACTGGGGCAGCAGAACTGGATTCAGCTGGGATAGAAGATGATTCACCAATAGTAGATTCAGTTGGGGCAGCAGAACTGGACTCAGTTGGGATAGAAGATGATTCACCAATACTAGATTCAGTTGGAACAACAGAACTGGATTCAGCTGGGACAACAGAACTGGATTCAGCTGGGACAACAGAACTGGACTCAGCTGGGATAGAAGATGATTCACCAATACTAGATTCAGTTGGAACAACAGAACTGGACTCAGCTGGGACAACAGAACTGGATTCAACTGGGGCAGCAGAACTGGATTCAGCTGGGATAGAAGATGATTCACCAATAGTAGATTCAGTTGGAACAACAGAACTGGATTCAACTGGGGCAGCAGAACTGGACTCAGCTGGGATAGAAGATGATTCACCAATACTAGATTCAGCTGGGACAACAGAACTGGATTCAACTGGGATAGAAGATGATTCACCAATAGTAGATTCAGTTGGAACAACATAAACTGGACTCAGATGGGACAACAGAACTGGATTCAACTGGGGCAGCAGAACTGGATTCAGCTGGGATAGAAGATGATTCACCAATAGTAGATTCAGTTGGGGCAGCAGAACTGGACTCAGTTGGGATAGAAGATGATTCACCAATACTAGATTCAGTTGGAACAACAGAACTGGATTCAACTGGGGCAGCAGAACTGGATTCAGCTGGGATAGAAGATGATTCACCAATACTAGATTCAGCTGGGACAACAGAACTGGATTCAACTGGGATAGAAGATGATTCACCAATAGTAGATTCAGTTGGAACAACTTAACTGGACTCAGATGGGACTACAGAACTGGATTCAACTGGGGCAGCATAACTGGACTCAGCTGGGAAAGAAGATGATTCGTCAATACTAGAATTCAGTTGGAACAACAGAACTGGATTCACCAATTAGTAGATTTCAGCCTGGGAACAAACAGAAGGATGATGTGGGTTTTCACCAACAATAACCAGCAGAAAATTGTAACTTCCAATTGACCGGAACCTTCCGGAATCCCTCAATAGAAAGCCATTGAAAATCATCCAACAAATCCTCTTTTTTCTAAGTTTATCTAGGGATGAATATTCCACAAAGAACTTGCTTTAATGATACAACAGATTGAAGCATCAATTAGCTGGAATTGAAATAATTCTACCCCGCGTACCGAATGTCTGTACTATATCTAATCCAAAAACAGTGGCATAGAAAATATTGAACATTATAATCCGAAAAAGAAGTAAAGTCAAAAAATGTCGTTAACTCATCTGGAATGGTGAAGTCACAAAACACCAGTTTCATAGTCAACGATCGAGACCTCTTTATCATTAACATAACAACTGATCAATGATGGGGATTCTGATGGAATAGCAGAAGAAGAAGAAGCCTCAATACTAGATGATGACCAAATAACGGAACTAAAAGTTGGAGCAGCAGATGATGATTCAGCTGGAACAACAGATGAGGATTCAACTGGAGCAGATGATGATTCAGCTGGAACAACAGATGAGGATTCAACTGGAGCAGAGGAGGATTCCACTGGAGCAGAGGAGGATTCCACTGGAGCAGAGGAGGATTCCACTGGAGCAGATGAGGATTCCACTGGAGCAGATGATGATTCAGCTGGAACAGAGGAGGATTCAACTGGAGCAGATGATGATTCAACTTCAGAAGATTCAGCTGGAACAGATGAGGATTCAGCTTCAGAAGATTCAGCTGGAACAGATGAGGATTCAACTGGAGCAGAGGAGGATTCAACTGGAGCAGAGGAGGATTCAACTGGAGCAGAGGAGGATTCCACTGGAGCAGATGATGATTCCACTGGAGCAGATGATGATTCAGCTGGAACAACAGATGAGGATTCAACTGGAGCAGAGGAGGATTCCACTGGAGCAGAGGAGGATTCAACTGGAGCAGAGGAGGATTCCGCTGGAGCAGATGAGGATTCCACTGGAGCAGATGATGATTCAGCTGGAGCAGAGGATGATTCCGCTGCAGCAGAGGATGATTCTGCTGCAGCAGATGATGATTCTGCTGGAGCAGCAGATGAGGATTCAGCTGCAGCAGATGATGATTCAACTTCAGAAGATTCAGCTGGCGCAGATGAGGATTCAACTTCAGAAGATTCAGCTGGAACAACAGATGAGGATTCAACTGGAGCAGATGAGGATTCAACTGGAGCAGATGATGATTCAGCTGGAACAACAGATGAGGACTCAGCTTCAGAAGATTCAGCTGGAACAGATGAGGATTCAACTGGAGCAGAGGAGGATTCAACTGGAACGACAGATGAGGATTACAACTGGAGCAGATGAGGATTCCACTGGAGCAGATGAGGAATTCCAGCTGGAGCAACAGATGAGGATTCAACTGGAGCAGATGAGGATTCAACTGGAGCAGATGATGATTCAGCTGGAACAACAGATGAGGATTCAACTGGAGCAGATGATGATTCAACTTCAGAAGATTCCACTGGAGCAGATGATGATTCAGCAGGAACAACAGATGAGGATTCAACTGGAGCAGATGATGATTCAACTTCAGAAGATTCAGCTGGAACAACAGATGAGGATTCAACTGGAGCAGAGGAGGATTCCACTGGAGCAGATGATGATTCAGCTGGAACAACAGATGAGGATTCAACTGGAGCAGATGATGATTCAGCTGGAACAACAGATGAGGATTCAACTGGAGCAGAGGAGGATTCCACTGGAGCAGATGATGATTCAGCTGGAACAACAGATGAGGATTCAACTGGAGCAGAGGAGGATTCCACTGGAGCAGAGGAGGATTCAACTGGAGCAGAGGAGGATTCCACTGGAGCAGATGATGATTCAGCTGGAACAACAGATGAGGATTCAACTGGAGCAGAGGAGGATTCAACTGGAGCAGAGGAGGATTCCACTGGAGCAGATGATGATTCAGCTGGAACAACAGAGGAGGATTCCACTGGAGCAGATGATGATTCAGCTGGAACAACAGATGAGGATTCAGCTTCAGAAGATTCAGCTGGAGCAGATGATGATTCAGCTGGAGCAGATGATGATTCAGCTGGAGCAGATGATGATTCAGCTGGAACAACAGATGAGGATTCAACTGGAGCAGAGGAGGATTCAACTGGAGCAGAGGAGGATTCAACTGGAGCAGAGGAGGATTCCACTGGAGCAGATGATGATTCAGCTGGAACAACAGATGAGGATTCAACTGGAGCAGATGAGGATTCAACTGGAGCAGATGAGGATTCAACTGGAGCAGATGAGGATTCAACTGGAGCAGATGAGGATTCAACTGGAGCAGATGAGGATTCAACTGGAGCAGTAAATGATTCAGCTGGAACAACAGATGAGGAGTCAACTGGAGCAGAGGAGGATTCAACTGGAGCAGAGGAGGATTCAACTGGAGCAGAGGAGGATTCAACTTGAGCAGAGGAGGATTCCACTGGAGCAGATGATGATTCAGCTGGAACAACAGATGAGGATTCAACTGGAGCAGATGATGATTCAACTTCAGAAGATTCAGCTGGAGCAGATGATGATTCAACTTCAGAAGATTCAGCTGGAACAGATGAGGATTTAACTGGAGCAGATGATGATTCAGCTGGAACAACAGATGAGGACTCAGCTTCAGAAGATTCAGCTGGAACAGATGAGGATTCAACTGGAACAACAGATGATGATTCAACTGGAACAACAGATGATGATTCAACTGGAATATCAGAATAGTTATCGGTTGAACTGGTTTTGACTTCTGATGTAGGCTCAGCAGGAACTGATGAAGCTATTGTCGGGGCACTGCTTGATTCAGTAGCGATACTTGTTTCATCTATAGTTGTGGAAGATTCGGTTCCAGTGCCAGCAGAAATGGTAACATCAATTGGTTCACCTTCACCATCATCAATAGATCCCAACCAATCATCAAGGTCGTCAAAATCTCCAAAATCATAGTCTCTTTTCTCGAAGTCCTCTGTTGCGGTAGAGACAGACGATGGTTCGATAACAGATGCAGAGGACTTTTTCAAATGGATTTTATTCAATTCTAGAGCCACATTATTCAACAATTTGGCAGGAATGGAAATTACCCTACCGGAAGATGCCACATCAGTGGTAAACTTTTGACCGTCAATACTAGCAAAATAATACTGAATATCGTAGTTGTCGGTCGAGGTAAAATGAAAGAAAGTTTCTAAATTATCTGGAATTGTAAAATCACAAACACCTGTTTCATATTCAACCACTCCAACCTCTTCACCACCAACGTAACATATAAGCAATGATGGGTTTTCTGATCTTTTTCCCAAAAAGGAAATGCCTTTAGGATCAGATTCATCATCTATCAATATATCATTGGCAGAAGTTTGATAATTTGAAAATGAGTTACATTCAAGTTGGCATGAGTTGGACAAAGTTCTTTCTGGGACCGGGCCGTTGTATTGAATACTGCCTAATAAAGTGGACAAACCGACAAGCTCATCACTGACAATAGAAAATAACATCGGGTCGTACCCCTTACCAATATTAAAATTCTGTGCACGTGATCCAGCGCGCATGGTCAAGATTCCGGATCCGGAATTATAACTATATGCTGGGTATCCTAATATATAAATGCCCTTCAACGGAGCATCCAATCCAATTCTATTACCGTTACCAAAACCGTAGACATTGAAAGTTTTAGGGCGGGTTTCAGCTTTAACGACAATTGAAGATTCCCTGTTAGCAAGGTAAATGTCTTGAGTTGAAGGAATTGACAAGTGTGATTCTGAAAGATAAATGGCTGATTTTTCTTCAATAGTGATACAGCCGCTACCAGTAACAGCTGCAGGTTCTTTAAATACCTTATTGTATAAACACATATTACCGTCATTGGTAATATCTAAAGCGAAAGCATTAATTAAAAGCAACCAAAATGGTATCAATATTCTTTTATCGATAACCATTTTAACACGAATTGCTAATATTAACTGGGTTGGAATAAAAATGTTTTGTAGAAACTAAAATATAGGGAAGATTCAATACGGTGTTAATTGAGTAATGGGATATATACATATATATATGGTTTCTATCCATTGAAAATTTGAATTTGAGATATAGCGACAAAAAGACTTAGTACGCTTTTGTGTCATTTGGATGGGTCAATGGTATTTGCAACTAACTTGTTATTGTGACATCTTGGTGTTACACCAAAAGGTCAGAACTGTGGTAGTTATATTTTAATCAAAGTTAGTCTGTGCTTTAAGCTTTTCAACAAAATTTCGGGTAATAGTTACCCGTGGATAGTTGCTGTATCTGTTGTTAATCCTCTTTTTATTTATTTACACTGTGAATACATACATGCCCTTTGATGACAAGGTTATTCTGTTTTTTTTTTTGTTACTTCGCTTTTTGCCACTTGAACAATGTAGCATATTGTTTTGATCACAGTGGAAAGTTGTTATTTGGGAGTATAAACTTTCGATTTCCAACTGTGGGCTGATGTAAAGAATAATTCAGACTTGGCTAACTGAGCATCGGTATAACAATGGTGAAATGTAACATTCGAAGCGAATTCAAAATTGTGAAGACGTATCTTTATCTTTTGTGCTTTGTGGCTAATTGAACTTTCTTGATTTTGTTTTGTGTTGCAATCGATTTACACAATATAGTCTCAACCAAAGCTAATGTTAGTCATCATTTGGTGAAAAATGTAATTAGAAGGCGTACAGAACAAGTTTATACGATCACAATAGATATAATCTGTGAATAAAGAACTTTAGTTCACTAGAGTGAAATGAATATTTAAAAAAATTGTCCAAATCCCGGAAATTTCTCCAAGGTTACTATCGCTCCCTTCTCCGAACAATATGAGCGCGGTAATCATGATATTATCTCATTGTGCGGAGCTCTATGTTTTAACCGATTAACACTAGGACTAGCAAATAACCGCCAGGGAGAAAATGTTTTTATTTAACTTATTTAGTCAAATAATTGGTAGTATCAGGTGAAGCTACTATTCTAGATTCTGAAAATGAAAGGAGAATGATGTATTTCGATAATTAGTACCTTGAGTCTGTAATAATTGACATGGTTATAAAGAATTGTTAAATGAGTAATATATGATAATTTTCATTAAGATACCTATATGTCTTCAGCATTGTCAAAAAGTGCACTACAATTCAAGGAATTGAAAATTAAAAAATTTCATCCGATGACATATAAGATCAAGAACATCTTCAAGTTTCTTAGCGTTTGTGATGCATAGACTCTAAAAGTTAATGAATTCGTTTGCTTTAGTCGCTTATCAGAAACGAACTTGGAGAACAATTCGCCATAGCACAATCCATAATCATGCGAGAAATATCAGACTAATCATAGCACAAATATCTATAATTAATGTAGCTCATCTATTTGATGCAGATATTGTACATTAGGAGAATAACTGAATCGCATTCGTATCAACCAACATAAATTTGTCGAGCAAACTTTATCAATAAATGCAAGAATGAAATTACAACATATCATTATAATACCACTGGTGGTTAATCACATATTTTGTTTGAATAGCTGACTTAAATAAAAAGGATGTATTTACTGCCATCACAAAAGTTGAAAATTTATCAATGGACAACTTGGCAGGCGTTAATTTCTAGGAATTACTCGGTAGACTATTTTTCACTTTCCATCTTGTACAACTGAAGATCATTCATAAACTCTCTAAATGTTTTTAATTGTCATTGTTCTCGGTACTGTAGTCTGTATTCCTCGTATATTTACCAAAGTATAATCTTTGTTAGAAGCTGGATCTTTAAGGAATCAGGCCATTTGCCAATTAAAATAAGCCCATTAGTTCAAACAACAATGAACCGTTCATTTTGTTTTTCTCATTGACTTGCTTATTGTTCCAATTTGTGTTCCCTTCTGAATATTTGGCTGCCGGTGTTGACAGCTCGTCACAGTAAATACGGTATTATGCAAAAAAAAAAGAAAGTAATTGTTATAACTATGAATCTATATTGAGATTTTCTAAGCTATCATACTAGCAGCTACGCGTTCATTGGGGATTATACTGGAATGGTTTCAAATTTTCGTAGGTATCGTCTCCAGTAATTCCAATGGTTTAATTTCTCTGTAACGTATAGTCCCTTCGATTTCAACTATTCATAAGAGCCCATTGGTAGCTCTATGCACTACGTTGTCTTTTAAGTTATAGTAACATACCTATTATACCTCTCCCGGATTCGGAGCAACTCCGCGAGTTATGAATTACAGATTAATGTGACAAAATGAAACAAATGCACGACTAAAATACAATTAGATCAAATTATAATCTTGGCAATATAATTGGGGCTTTTGCAGATTTTAGTCTTTACCTATAGAGTGGGGGATATATAGAGGATGAAATCTCAAAAAAGACTTAGCCATTTCACCTCAACACATGTACACAAGCTACACTTAGTGAGGGGAATCAGATTATATTCACTGAGTGAAAAGATTGAATAAGTGGATGATCTTCAAACTGTTTCATCAACTAGATTAAATGAATTATTGGTTCGTGATGAAAGAGCATTAAAGATACTACTAGATTAATATTAAAAACCAGTAAAAACATAACTTTATAAATATTACAGTTTAAATAACTACTAATGTCAATGAAAATAATGTATGCTAATGTAGTGGGAATCGGGATATGCTTTGCAAGCTGTTCTATTTTGAATACCCGAGTTTAGGACTAGATTTCCAGTGTAGTTGATATTGTCTTATCAGCATTATCTGTATATACGCCAATTTTATTATCTCGTTAGTGCTCTAAAGATTTTAGATTACCAACAATCTGATAATATATATATTGAGGAGCAAAGATAAAATTGGATTAAAAATAATCTAAACTTAGTCAACATAGTAAATATGATTTGTTAGAATGAAATTCACCACCTTATTCGACTTTGAAATATACTGATTATGTGATATTTCTACTTTCTGTGTGTTGTTTTCATTACTAAATTGTACTTTAGAATTTTTAGGCTGGTTTTCTTTTTCTAAAAAATAAAAAAAAGGTGATGCAAGCTTGACCAGATTTGTCTGATAATGCTAATTCCCGCTATATTAAATCACTAAATTCTAAACCTCTTTATTCACATTGTTGCGGCTATTGTTTTTATCTTGAAAATTTCAGTTTAATTAAAATTATCAGGCCTTTATAGGTTTTGCTCTTGAAAAAAACAATGAAAATCAAGAATTAGAAATGGTCGATACGAAAAATTCAAATCTTCCAAGGCTATGTTTTTAGTATCTTGTCTTTGCCATGAAAAGCTGTGAAGATAGATTTGTGGCTTTTATCTAGACAATTGCCCAGAGTGGTGACAAACTGGCAATAAAGTGATGTCACATCTAGACGCCTGTAATTTAGTTCAAAGTACAAGATAACATAAAATCTTTACATCTCAACTTGAGTGAACTGCAGTTGTGACTTAATGAGTTGTATTAAAGAGAGATGACAATATTATGGGTCCGTTTTTCTTGCTCATTATTCAATACAAGTCCAGATCTGAATCAAATCTGCTTAAATTGGTCGACATTTTACTTAAAAACTGTTTCGGTTGTATCATTTTGTCACAATAGATATCTCTTATGTCTTGTTTACCTTAAGAAATTATTGAAATCTTTAATATAACCAAAATCTGGATTTTTATAGTTTGTAAATACGAAAATTTTAAAGCAATGTCACGTGACTTTTATAGAGTTCCTATAATATATCATTTGTATTTCTGTATCATGAGTTATGATACAATATTAATCTATTCAATGAGTTGATGCTTTGCTTTGAAATTATTATTTAATATCAATGCTAAATAATAGTATCATTGTGATCATCTACAATTTAGATTAAAATATAATAAATTTTACAAACATATATTGAAGTAGTATCAAAACCGAAAATAGAAAACTACTAGATTTAACAAGTAATTATAAAAAAACAAAATTAAAATTAAAAAAAGCATGAATAATTGCTGGAAAGGAACAGCACCAAACCATTTACTAATGGTGATACGAAAATAAAAATTAGCCCCAAGAAGACAAAAACTAAATGTGTACGGATATCCAATGGAATGAAATTAGTTGAAGC